TTCAGTAGCATGTCCCTCGCGGAACCTCGCTGCCATAACAACCCTCTGGAAAACCTTCCTATCCTGAGCAAGATGTCCTGCGTCTGATACACCCATCTGGAGATCATCTGCCACATCCTGCACCCATCTTCTCCTTGGCCTTCCTCTTCCTCTCTTCCCAGGCATATACCCCTCCATTATTGTTCTCTCTAGACTTCCATGACGTTTCAAGTGACCAAAATATTTCAATTTTCTTTGTTTTATTGTCTTTACTAGCCAACCCTCTTCAATATTCAGCTCTTGAAGTATGGATGCATTTGTTCTTTTCTTTACCCAAGATATTCTTAGAACCTGTCTGTAACATTTATATTCAAATGCATTTAGGCGCTGTTCCGCTTGTTTAGTAAGTGTCCAGGTCTCACAGGCGTATGTTGCAATGGGAAAGATGCATGCTCTTAAAAATCTGACCTTTGTAATTCTATCTGTACAATTCCATAATTTATTCAGTTGTTTTAGTCTTTGAAGAGCAATTGATAGTCGCCGTTTAATTTCTTTCATTGTGTCACCATTGTTGGTAACCAGTGACCCAAGATATTCAAAATTTTCCACCACTTCCAATCTTTCCTCATTAACATATATTTCCTTCTCCATGGCAGTTTTGTTTGTATGCATTATCTTTGTTTTTGCTATGTTAAGAAATAAGTTATGATTTTCACTATTTCTTTGGAGTGAGGTTAATAAGTTTTCTAAACCATTTTGTGATGTTGATAGTAATACTGTATCATCAGCATAACGAATTTCTGGTATTTCATGACCACCGATGTTTAGGGCATCATATTGTTCCTTGTTTATATCATCTCTTACAATTCTCATTATATTTTTGGCGTACAGGTTGAACAAATACGGTGACAGCACACATCCCTGACGGACTCCTAGCTGATTACATGTGTCATATTGCTCAGAACAAAAATGAAATAATAAGAAGTTGTGTCTCTTTATATCAGCGGTTCTCAGCCTGCTAGTCGCAACTTTTTTTGGGGTCAAATGACCTTTTCACAGGGTTCGCCTAAAACCATCGGAAAACACATATTCATTGAGGTTATGAAGGAAAATAATTTCCTGGTGGTCGCCACAACATGAGGAAACTGTATTGAGGGGTTGCAGCATCAGTATGGTTTAGAGCCTATGCTTTATATGGACCAAATATTTCAACTATGTTACTTTGAGCATATTACAATGCTTCATGTGTCAATGAATGTCAGCCACAAACCTATTTCAATTTTAAAATAAATTTTCAGACAATTTAAATGTTACTGACTGATCCAAAACTGAGTGAGACATGATGATAACAGACAGACTGGGGGAACAAAACCTTGCATCAGTTTCACTAACAAGCAATTCACATAGTTTAATTAACTCATTAGAATGCAGCCGCAAAGACTGCTAACACAGATGTTTCCCTTACAATGATCTCAACGTGACAGAAAGATGGCGTCCATGGGGAAGACACATTGATAACATTAAAGACATTCTGTCTATGTCCTCACAGAATGGCAACAGCTGGTGCTACCCATCAAGCAATGGATCACAAACAGTTTCTCCCCATGAAGCTTAATGGAAAAAGTGTAAACTGATAAGGATGATTTTTCTTCTTCAGCATTCCTAGCCCTTGAGGTTCACTGCTGCAGATATCACCTGCCTCCATTCATCTCTCTGGTTGGCCTTCTCGTTCCAGTTGGTGACACCAAATGTTTGCAGGTCTGTCTAGATATTATGTCTCCACTGTCTTCTTGGTCGGCCTCTAAGACCATTCAGCTCCCTTGTGTATACAGCGTTTACCTCTTTGCTATCTGACATTCTCTCAATAAGCCCCAGCCATTTTAGTCTATTAGCTCTCATGATACCGGTGATCAGTGTTGACTGAAAGAGATTATAAATTGTGTTGTTGCTTCTCACTCTCCATTCCCCAATGTTTGCATTTTTCATAGGATGATGACGATGATAATGATTATTTTTTTTATTTTTTTTTAAATCTTGGAAAAAGCAAACAAGAAAAAGTAAATGTACCTTATCCCAGTAAAGCCTCAGTTGGGACAACCAATCAAAAGCATTCACATCACTGATTCCTGACTTGGCAAGTTTCTCAATAATGTCACGAGCATGGACTTCAATAGTCACCAAGGCAACAATCTTTGACCTCTGCATCTTTGACAAGTTTGAGCGAATAGCCTCCGAAAACTTGTTTAACATCATAACCTTGGACAAGGAGATGGCAGTTAATCACATGGCAATACTGAACATATTTTTCTTTAATCACCTCATACTGTCCAACATATAATTATGGGTAAATGCTGAGGGTCAAAAGTTCATGACATCAGATTTCCAGCCACTCGATATCTTCATTTGCAGTGTTTGGTAAGTACCTAAAGCGTTTTATGGTTGTTTGGTGTTTTGGTTCATTCACTGCTCAGTTCGCTGGTATATTGTTTGTCTGGTTGATTGCTTAATTTGTTGAATGGTTGGTTAGTCTCTTCTTCTTCTTTTTCTTTTTCTTCTTCTTCTTCTTCTTCTTCTTCTTCTTCTTCTTCTTCTTCTTCTTCTTCTTCTTCTTCTTCTTCTTCTTCTTCTTCTTCTTCTTCTTCTTCTTCTTCTTCTTCTTCTTCTTCTTCTTCTTCTTCTTCTGCTTCTTTTTCTTCCTTTTCCTCTTCTTCTTTTTCTTCTTCTTTTTCTTCTTCTTCTTATTTTTTTTTTGATGATTTTTTATCCTTTTCTTTTTTAATCATCTTCTTTTTCTTCTTAACAGGACAGTTGAAACACTTTGTTGTGGTTTACAGCCAGTTTGTGTATCTGCCTTTTTCAGTCCAACACAGCCATTTCACCTTTTACGATATGCTTGTAAATGCATGTCGGTGTCTGTGGCTTAGGCATTGCAAACACGCTTTGTAATGCCAGAGTGCCGGGTTCGATCCTAGCTGTGGATGGTTTGTCTTGCATAGATTTCGATACTGGTACCAAGAGCTCACTGTTCAGAAAGCAATGGCAAACTAGTAAATGTAAAATGTGACAAGGAAAAACCACAACAGATAATAAATGCTGGGGTGGGTTCTACAATGTCCTGTGAAGGATACACAACTAACTTTTGTTAATGAACCAGTAGGCTTATTTTATATTTTTTCCTCAAATAAATTTAGTCCCAGAACCTAAATGGGTAGTAAATGACTGACTGACTGACTTTCTACCCCACTAGGACATCACACAAGCGATAAACACCTGATGACACAAAGTGCCACCATGTGGATGGGGATCGCCGAGGAGAGGTCCCAGAAACTGCGTTCAGACAATTGGCCATATTTATGACCTGCCTATATTGCGACCCCTGGCAAAATCCAGGGTGAGGCTTCAAACAACAAAAGATTTTGTCCTGAAAAAGACGAAACGTATTTTTTTTTTTTTTTTTTTTTTTTTGGTAGTAAGTGATCTATAACGACATTTAAGGATATTGTGGTGTGCAATCGGCAAGAGGACGAAAATGGCTGTTTACCGCTCTACCTATGTACCAGTCCTGGCCTATGGGTGTGAGTCATGGGCAATGACAACAGCTCACAGAAGCCAGCTGCAGGCCTCGGAAATGAGATATCTGAGAAAGGTGGTCCAAGTGACAAGAAGGGACAAAGTCCGCAATCAGACAATATGTCAAGATCTTGATACCCAGGCCTTACTAACTCGAGTGGATCAGTCACAGTTACGATGGTTTGGACATGTATGCAGAATGGGAGAAAATCGGCCACCATGGCAGGCATGGGAGGCTGAGAACCAGGGAACCAGACCTCCAGGACAACCCAGGGTGCGCTGGGAAGACAGCATCCGACAGTCCCTAACTGAGAGGGGCCTGGAATGGAACAAAGCCAGAAAGAAAACTGCTGATAGAGACGTCTAGCGATCTCTTCGGTGGATTTACACACTCCAAGGTAAAAGAGGAGCGACTAAGTAAGTAAGTAAGAGGTGTGCAATCAAAGTAAGATAACTTTGTGCAATGGAAGGGAGATGATGGTTGTTACATTAAAGGAAAATAGCTACATGCAATGAAAGGGAGATAAGCGTATACACAATGGATGAAAGATAATTGCCCACAATGAAAGGGAGGTAGCTATGTGCAATGAAAATGAGATAACAGTGCAGTGAAAGGAAGATAACTTCACAATGGAAGGGAGCTAACTGTGCAACATAAGGATGGTAACTGTGTTCAATGTAAAGAAGATAACAGTAAACAATAAAAGTGATTCTTTAAAAACCAACCAAAAGATACCTCACCTGTTTCTTTTTGATGCTCTTTAATGCCCGTTTGTCTCCTCTTTCCTTGGTGAGTGCCAAAGCTTTAGTCACATCCTGTGTCCACTGGATCTGGCCAGCAGTTATGCACATCTGGCAGATAGACAGGAGACAAACAGGCATGTTAACTTTCACTATATAAAACTAAAAATCATGGTTTCAATGAAATATAACTTGTCCTCAACAATATGGGATGAAATTTTTCGCTATTTTAAAGCCCCACCCCGGCTGTTGTTGGGGGCCTTAACATAACCTAATGTGCCTGGATCTCTGGGAGTAAATGCATTCCCTACAAATGGGCAAACCCTTTGATTTCCTGGGTTTTTTAAACAGCAATTTCAAATATGTTCTTTACCGACTTTTTCTCTAAAAACCTCATTCCTGATTTAATCTCTTCTGGTCACTCCTGTAGCCCTTCTCAGACATTTAATTTTGATGGTTAAAAATTTTCCTTTCTGATCTGTTGTGATTATCCATGTCTCTCACTGGTAGCATGGGGTGGTAATAAATATGCAACGTATGAGTGAAGTAATATTTTAAACCTAAACATCTAATGTAAAAACAATTGTAGACTGTGTAAGAGTAAAACATGTTTCAGACTCTAAAGAAAACAATTTATGAGTTATAACAAAGAACAACATTGTGTGAATTGTTTGGTGCATACAAAAATATACTGAATTCCTTAAACATACCTGGCCAGGCCATTCTTTAATCCACTTATCTCTTTTGCTGAGGTTTTTCTTCAAAGCGGCTCTACAGTTGCGGAGAATCTCTTTTAGTGTCCATCTCATTGTCTTCTCAACATCACACAGCCAGGCCTGGGAACAGAGACAATAAACAGTTTCAGACAGTGTTGCTAACAATTGTCTTTTGCTCTCTGCATACACCAAATATTTAGGGCACGCTTGCTTCTCTGAAGGAAAAAGAAACAAAAGTTTTGATCGCTTTCAAACAGCTAACATAACATAATCCTTGATCCATTAGAGTCTTTCTCTGTCTTCCCCTTTATCAATAAGTGTCAGATAACTTAGTTAGTTAGTTAGTTAGTTAGTTAGTTAGTTAGTTGGGTTATCCTCATTGCACTCCAGACATGTCAATAGGTGCTCAGATCCTCCCCTCAGTATGAACCCCAACGTCCGATGGCTAATAGTACCAGTTCTATGTTGATTAACAAGTCTTCTGGTGTGTCTGGTGTGCGTCTCGTTTTTTGCTGTACCGATCTTAATTCCCAAGTCTGCCATTCTGGCGAGTGATGTTGATTACTTAGTCCTGTCCATATCTTGATGTAATCATTCCATGTTTTTCTTTGCTCTTAACTTCTTCAACTACTCTTCAATGCTCCCTGAAGTGCATTCTTTGCAATTGAATCAAGTCTCATCATGTGTTTGAACCAAGTGAGCTAGCGATGATTTACCACCGCCAAGAGAGGCTCATGAAGTCCTGACAATTTGTATATTTTGTCTCTGGACACCAGCTTATAAAAGCTGATGGTTACACTGATCTTTTTATGGTTCATGTAATCTGGTAATTAGGTAATTGTTGTTGACTGACTGACTTTCTACCCCACCAGGAGTGATAAACACCCAATGACACAGTGTGCCACCATGTGGATGAGGATTATCATGGAGAGGTCCCAGAAACCGCGCTCAGCTTTTAGGCCATATTTTTTACCTGGCTATGTTGCGGCCCCTGGCAAAAGCCAGAGTGGGGCTTCAATTAACGAAAGATTTCATCCTAAAAAGGATGGTGAATAATCTATGGATCAGAAAAAGGTCATCAATGTTCCAACTTTATTGCAAATAAGTCACCCCATAGCTGATCTGCTTCTGTGTCCAAAGAAATCAGTAAAATAACATTTAAACAGAAAGGTCTAATGTAACAACTAGAGCAGACTAGGGAAGAGACAAGGAAAAATGGAGGGAGACATTAAGCATACCTCGACTGGTCCTTCAAGGATAACTGCATGCCCAAACTCAACATACTCTCCTTCACAAGAGAACATCCCAGCTGCTTCCCATTTCATCTGGACTCCCGCCTGGAGAAGAACAAAGTACTCTAAAATATGTTTGTAATGTTAAACTACTTACATGCCATCAATTTTTTCCTGTCATGATATTTTCCAGTGATCCTTTTCTCATTACTTTTGTTTGCTCACATTCCAAGATTCACTACCATACAAAAGAACCGGCTCAATATAACATTTCAATACTGTCACTAAACATAAAATGTAAAAACAGACATAACATGTTATCTGGTACATTCTTGACTCAACTCAAGCAACTCAGCTGACTGGTACATGTGAATACTACTTAGTTACGCACGCAGCTTTGTTAGGGGACAGAGAGTGTTGAAAAGTACAGTAAAAAATATAATAACCCTTTGGGGACGACTGGGCCAATCTATCGGCCCAACAGCAAAATAGCCAATAAAGGCAGCTAGGCCAATCTGTCACCCCAGTAATATAAGCTCTGATTGTCTGGCTGGTCTTCATATCAGCCAATCAGATTACGTATTGCATTTTTTGTTGATTTATGTCGGCTGTTCAGTGGTGGCTTTTTTTTAAGTTTTTGTGTTCCTTATCATTTTACATCCTTTGGGGGGGGGGGTTGTGTTATCTGATGAAAAGGACTGTTGAATCATAGCAATTAAAATAAAGCAGGAGGCAGGTAAAGAAGTAAAACCATGAGCCAGTGGTGTCTAAAGGGTTTCCATGGTCTTTCTTCCCCAAAACACAAGTGTTAGTGCTTATTCAGGCTTCCTTCATCAGAAAATTTAGCCACACTGTTAAATTTAGTCATGTTTGTCCTAAGTATTTTTTTTAAAAATGCATGCATAAATATGCAAATTAGCACAGCTAATTTGAATAAAGGTTGAGATGTCCCTGAATGTCAGTGTGATTCATAAAGATTGTGTTAGTTCATTCAATTTCCTACAAGAACATACATAGTTTTACATATGTTAATTGAATGATTTATTTTTTATAATGTTGTGTGTGCAAATTAGGAGAACACCCTCCTGAAGATTCTGTCTTCTTGGCACTGAACTTTAAATGGTCTCCAAAGAGTTCAACTTAACAATCTATACTCTTATGGTCTACAAAGAGTTCAACTTAACAATCTATACTTTTATGGTCTCCAATAGGTTCAGCTTAACAATCTATACTCTTATGGTCTTCAAAGGGTTCAACTTAACAATCTCTACTCTTATAGTCTTCAAAGGGTTCAACAATCTCTACTCTTATGGTTTTCAAAGGGTTCAACTTAACAATCTATACTCCTATGGTCTCCAAAGGGTTCAACTTAACAATCTATACTTTTCTGGTCTCCAATAGGTTCAACTTAACAATCTATACTCTTATGTTCTTCAAAGGGTTCAACTTAACAATCTCTACTCTTATAGTCTTCAAAGGGTTCAACTTAACAATCTCTATTCTTATGGTCTTCAAAGGGTTCAACTTAACAACTTCAAAGGGTTCAACTTAACAATCTCTACTCCTATGGTCTTCAAAGTGTTCAACTTAACAACTTCAAAGGGTTCAACTTAACAACTTCAAAGGGTTCAACTTAACAATCTCTACTCCTATGGTCTTCAAAGGGTTCAACTTAACAACTTCAAAGGGTTCAACTTAACAACTTCAAAGGGTTCAACTTAACAACTTCAAAGGGTTCAACTTAACAATCTTTACTCTTACAATCTATTGCAGCATATAATCTATGGAATATTAAATAAGCTAAAGTAATTGACAAGCATGAACATCCAATACTTCCCACACACACACAAAAATACATTTTAAAAATCATAACCCAAATGGGAGTTGCCGAGGCATAGCAGCTAGAAGCCCGCATGTGGATCTGAAGGTCACAGGTTCACTCCCTGGCAGAGCCAGATTTTTTCAAAAATTACCTTCACTTCCAGGTTGAGCCAGCTTTGAGTGGGTATGGGGTGCAGTCCTGGGAAGTAAAGGTGGCCGGCGTGATGCTGACCACATCACAAATCTTGTGCCAATTGGTCTAGCCCTATATGCCTAAAGGCGTGGAAAAAGGACCTTTACTTACTTTAATTAAAACCTAAATAGGTTGAACAGGATTTTTTTTTTTTAATTAAAAAAAAACAACTACAGGATATTGCAGTGAATGTAAAAACTAACTTACCTTAGCCATTTTCAAAGACTTAATATTGTCAAAGCATTTCTTCAAATGTGGTTGGATAGCCTCTGGATTCTTGGACTGACCCAGAATTTCCAGAAGGTCGTCGTTAGAGAGGAAGTAAAATCGTGGAAATATCTGCCGTTTGGTCTCCAGATACATGTCCAGGGATTTCTGGATCTCTTCCAGCTTTTCATTCATGGCCAACAACTGGTTCAGGAGACCTGTAATTTCTTTCTCAGTTTAGTTTACAGTCAATTGTTAGTACATTTTAGCATCCCTCCCCTGTCGCAACTCGTTTTTTGCTGCTGATGTTTCTTCTTCTTTTTTCTTCTTTCTCTCTTTTATTCCTCTTTCTTTCTTTCTTTCTTTCTTTCTTTCTTTCTTTCTTTCTTTCTTTCTTTCTTTCTTTCTTTCTTTCTTTCTTTCTTTCTTTCTTTCTTTCTTTCTTTCTTTCTTTCTTTCTTTCTTTCTTTCTTTCTTTCTTTCTTTCTTTCTTTCTTTCTTTCTTTCTTTCTTTCTTTCTTTCTTTCTTTCTTTCTTTCTTTCTTTTTCTTTCTTTCTTTTCTTTCTTTCTTTCTTTCTTTCTTTCTTTCTTTCTTTCTTTCTTTCTTTCTTTTCTTTCTTTCTTTCTTCTTTCTTTCTTTCTTTCTTTCTTTCTTTCTTTCTTTTCTCTTTCTTTCTTTCTTTCTTTCTTTCTTTCTTTCTTTCTTTCTTTCTTTTCTTTCTTTCTTTCTTTCTTTCTTTCTTTCTCTCTGTCTTTCTTTCTTTCTTTGTTTATTTCTCCTGTCCTTTTGCTTCCTTTCATTTTTCTTCCTTTCTTCTGTCTTCCTTTTATCTTCTCTTTTTTTGTATCTTTCTATTTTCATGTCTTTCTATGTTCATGTCAATACGTTGTTTGCTTTAATCTTTCTATATTCTTATATTTCTTTTTTTTTTAATCTTTCTATCTTCTTATCTTCGTTATCTTCTTATTGTTAGTTTTTTTTTTATCTCTCTATCCTCCTATCCTTCTTTCTCCCCGTTCTTCTTCTTCTTCTTCTTTCGTTCGCCTGAAATAAGTTGTCTATATCAGCAGTTTTGTCTCTGGTATAAATTTCACTGTCGTTGTTAGTTCATTCAGTGGTCTATAGAGTTTACGTTTCACTGTTGTTCTTTCTGGCCAAAAGGTTTGCCTTAATGTGTCAAATTCAGTGCAGTCCTGGAGTACATGCTCTGCTGTCTGGGGCACATTTCCACAGGTGCACATGGCTGATACACCTATCTTGAATTGGGGTCTTGATCTTGGGGTCCTAATGGAGCAATGATGCGCAATAAAAGACTCTTAATGTCTATTAGCCTCTCTTACTCAAGCCTACCTCACCTTCACGTGGTGGACCCTGTTCTTCCCAGCAATCCAGTTGAAGGTTGGGGTCTCAACCCCCAGCGGGAAACTGGATGGGACAACAAACGAGGTAAAGGCAAAAGACGAATGGATGAGCCTACTCTCCTCGAGCATGATCACAGTCTACCCTTGCAAAACAAGGTGCTGAAGTCGGAGGCAACCAGCCAAGAGGCGCACCACAGCAATCAGGATGCCACGCACACACGCCATGGAAATATGTCCCCGTTCTTCTTTCTTCTTCTTTTTTCAGCTTTTTCTATAGACCTTTTTTCTTTTGGCATCTTCTTTCAGTTTCTTCTTTCTGTATAAGATGGGTTACTCATATTTCACCCTTGTGGCAAAAAAAAGCAGATTATTAACAGCACTGAATCCCAACTTTATATTATCAGTGTCAATCATGGACAAGCAGTAAATCATAGGAACAGAAAAGAACTATCTGTGAAATGTGCTTTCTTTGAAAAATCACACAAGAAGGGATTTGATCCTGAATAACAGCTTTAGAGAGAGGATTGGGACCAGACTGTTCTAGGACAACATCGAGAGACAGAAAATGAATTAGACTGGACCTCTAGTAATAATGCAGCCAAACCACACTGTAAATCGCACTCCTTAAACCCACTTGTAATGTGGGATATTTTCACAAGGGGATTCCCTGATTGAGAAGGTTGGGGGAATGCTCATGGGTCACCATAAAACCAAGAGAAGCCAGACACTCGGAGAAAACGAGGTTCTCAATTGGGGGCGGGGGGGGGGGGGGAAGACCACGTGGAACCCAAGGAGAACAACCACGTGTCGCCACATGGAACCCAACACTTGGTTATAAGTTCAGACCATGTTGTGATTAGACAGTATGTGTTGGACTGTTGGAACGAGAGGGTGTGTGTGGTCCAGTGTGAATGGGAAGAATCCTTGTCAACTTGAAAATGATTACTTCAAGATGACGACTTGACTACAACATTCATCAAAGTGAAGTTCACCCAACTCAGTTGCGGGAACCACGAATGCAGTGACCGGAGTCATCCATGCGGAGATGTTGAAGTGAAGACGGAGAACCCCAGAGTGTGAATGCGTCAGGATTCAATGTATTGGTGTCTGACCGATGTGGTGCTAGAATGCTGTGCTTGTTGAGTAGGACACTGACCGGACATATTGTGTAAGTGCTTAAATGTTAATAAACAGTCATGTATCATGGAGATAGTGTCTACTCATAACATCTGTTTTATCATAGAGTGTCAGTCATATCATCAATTAGAGTACACCCCCTAGACAACAGCCAAGGACCAAGCAGACAATATTGCAAAAAACTTAAAAAACACAAAGGAACATTTGGACAGAATTCATGAGGAAAACCAAGGAAGGCATGGATATGCAGTGTAATTGAATCTTGCACACACAAAAAAGATGAACAAATCCATCACACAAGCTACTCAACAAGCACAAGACAAATGCAGGAAACCACAATACTAGGCTATAAGCCAATGACATTAACAAGACAAAAGAAGAAGAAGCAGAAGAAATGTCCGTTATTAGAAGAATTATGATAAACATCATGAAGAGATACAATATGTAATGGAAATGTACTGAAACAATCAATTCACAAGAGAAACTGGTTACCTGCTTAACTCTTTGAGTCCCAGGGAATGCATCACGCGCTAATTGGTTACAACCCAGCAGACCAACTGACTTGTGACAAACACGGTTTTTAATTTACCACTGTCCGGTAATAAAACAAGGACCGCTCAATTTCCACTTCTTTGTGTCTGATATCAGGTGTGCTCATTTGGAAACGTAGTTTAAAGGCCAAAAATGTAGTATATGTATATGAGATGTGGTTTTACAGAAGAATGCTTAGAATACCTTGGACAGCCAAAAAGAGCAGCTAAGAGGTTTTGAAAGAGGCAGGAGACCAAAGACAACTTATCACAGACATCAGAAGGAGACAGTCATCATTGTTCGACCATGTTATGAGAAGAGGGAAATTAGAACATGTTGTGACCACTGGAAAGATCTGTGGAAGGAGGGATAGAGGAAGACAACGAGAGAAGATTCTTGACAGTCTTGTTGCATGGCATGGAGGTGTGTCGGCACACGAACTGATACATGCTGCAGGAGATCGTGGATTATGGAGAGGCATGATCGCCTATCCCAGTCGGCAAGGCACCTGATGATGATGCTGATGATATGTGTTTTTATGAATGTTACTGAATGTAACCAAAGGTAGTGCAGTGAACTCCTATACTTCATCAATGACATCAAAAGGATTGCTCAGGTTAGAACAGAATTGAGGAATTGATTGAAAGCTCCAAGTGAGGTATAACAGTACGACAGAATCACAATGATGATTACTTGTACGGTGTACCCAGATTTTCTGAAACCTCTGTTAAGATTTCTAGTCCCAGTTTTTGTAGTGTTAAATTACTTTTGTTAACTTGCCAGATATGATGATCATCATCATCATCAAGTGCCTTGCCAGCTGGTGTAGGTGTTCATGCATCTTAACAGATCTTGGTCTCTAATGTTCTGGATCAATTCCACTGATGATATTCCTCCATGCCACTATCTTAAGCCATCCACCATGCCTCAACTACCTCTTCCCAACTGCACCTGGGCGTAGTAGAGGATGGGCAACACACCTGGGCGTGGCAAATGCAGCTTTGGGGACTGAGCATCCATCGGAATAAGTGGACAACTCTGCAGCTGAGAAGAGTAGGGCACTCACTGGTCCTGACTGTCAAAACTTACTGTAAAAGGCAGAGGTGAAAGACCCCCATGTAAATATGGAAGGCAGATGGAAACCACCACATTATCCTCCCAAGTATACATGCACAGTCACACATTTAATTCAAACGTGATAAATCACAAAATTTATTTACCAGCATAATGAGTTCCTCTGAGGGCATTTTTGTCTCCATTGAGCCTGCTCATGATTTCCTTCCAAGATTTGTTGATGCTATCAAATTCAGCCGATTCTCTCGGCAGCTGTTTCCTGATGTCCTCACCAAGGAAAATGTTCTACCAAATGAAACAAAGAAAGTGATCAATGAATTCACAAAACTTGATCATATTATCGGATTCAGTTGTTTATTTAGACAGTTGTTTCATTGTTTACTAAGACAAGAATGTTTAAAAAAAATTAAATAAATGCAGAAAGTGATCTTGATCAAAGACAAAATAAAAAATAATTATAGTGAGGTGGAAAGGAAGACAAGAAGAGGAAGAATAGAGCACAACTAAAAGAGATTTTACAAACTTTTAAGAATCATTTTATAATGAATCTTTTAGCCTATCGTAGATGCGAACCGCACAGAATGGATAATAAGAAGCAATAATATAATTCATCATATATTTAAAATGTCCCCACTTATTGCTGAGGGTTGATAGGCAGCAATGGTCTGACTGACTGACTGACTGACTGTCTATCCCACCAGGACATCACACAAGCGATAAACACCCGATGACACAATGTGCCACCTGTGGATGAGGATCCCTGTGAAGAGGTCCCAGAAACCGCATTAAGCCATTAGGACATTTTTATGGCCTAGCTATATTGCGGCCCCCGGCAAGAGCCAGGGTGAGGCTTCAAAGAATGAAAAATTTCATCCTAAAAAGGACGGTGAATGAATTGACTTAAACAGGCAGCAATGGTCTGGGGAATACAACATCATGCAGTACTGGCACTTTCTTAGGCATCTTTTTTTTTCAATCTTATTTTTAACAGACACAGAGATGACTACCGGCACCACTTTATCTAGAAAAAATTTATAAAAGCCCTTGTAATAATGATGATGATGATGACTATGCTAATAATAATAATAACAATATTAACAGTAATGATGATGATGATGATGATGATGATGATAATAATAACAATAATAATAGCATTAACGATGACTGTAAGGAGTCATTTTCTCATTGTTGGGAAATGATATCATTGTTTGAAAATGAGGACAAAAAACAGTGAAAATAAATTTTGAGCAGCAGCATGAAAGGAAGGCTTTGATTATTAATTATAATGTTTATGTAAAATGTATTGAGTGAGCGATACTAACTCAAGATTAACAAGCAGTTAGGCTGATGTGTGTAAACAAGCAGTTAGGCTGATGTGTGCCAAACAAGGAAATCATGAAATTGTCAGTGAAACTTCAGAGTGCAAAAGGAGTAAATAGATTATTTAAACATGGAGCAAGTCAGACAGCTCAAGATTTTTTTTTTCATCTTGAGTCAAATGTATTCACAGACTGATTGAATCCTAGCCTTTTCTCTAAGAAAAAACTGGCTATGACTCGACAACAATTTAAGATTGAGAAAATTTGTCTGCTGTGAGATGTGTTTTTGTTGAATGCAGTAATTCTGGGTAATTCTGAAATGCGATTACAGCAAGTGTACTGAAGTGAGAACTCTGTCCAGGTAATGATAATCATTTGAAAATTTTTGAGTAGCCGGTGTACCTAGACAACTAATCTCTGGCTCACTGACAGAGGAGAACATCATTGGAGCCAATACGGATTTCCAACCAGCAGTTTAGTGTCAAAAGACAAAGATGTGGCATTTCAAGTTGAGGAAACAGTTAAAAACACCTTCAGCACTCTAGAGAAAGGAAATGACATAGAAGAAGAGTGGCAAATTTTAAAAACCTGCATCCTGAATGTAATGACAGAAAAGTGCGGACTCCGAAAGCCAAGAAGGCACATGAAACAAACAGCATGGTGGAATGAAGAAGTTAAAATTTCTATCAAAGAAAAGAAGAAATATTTTCATCAGTGGCAAAAGTCCAAATTAGATGAGGACTACATCAAATATCAAAGAGCAAGAGGAAAGTAAATTCGGCAAAATCAGAATCATGGGCAAACTACGGAGAACAATTAACAAGGCTATGCACTAATTCACCAGGTCAGTTCTACCGAAGCATCAAGGCTTTGAGACTGAGAGAAGAGAAATTTAACCCATCAAAGATCATAAAAGCAAGGCTAAAAAACCACTCACCAAATCCCAAGATGTTAAAAGAAGATGGCTAGAATATTTTTCTGAATTACTGAATAGTGGACCACAAGAACCAGTGTCTAATAAAATAAAATTTGGACAAGAACAAGAACCTAATATATTAGAATCTGAAGTTGAAAAGATCCTAGAGCAAAGCAAAAGAAACAAAGCGGCCGGAACAGATGGTATTACAACAGACATAATACTTGCATGTAAGGCAACATCAGTAAAATGGCTGACAAGAATATTCAATATGGCCTGGGAGGAAATGAAAGTTCCCGTTGACTGGCAGAGAGCAATTATAGTTTCCATATGGAAGAAGAAAGGTGATAAACGAGATTGTGAAACATACAGAGGTATCTCTTTACAAAGCCATGTAGGAAAGATATTTGCAAAAATATGAGAACGAAGAGCGAGAGTGATATTAGAACCTCAATTAAGTAACAACCAGTTTGGATTTAGAAAAGGTAAGAGCTGCACTGATGCAATATTTACTCTTAGGCAAATTTGTGAACAGACAATCGAATATAATAAACACCAGAATCTAATATTCATTGATCAAGAGAAGGCTTTTGACAGGGTTAACAGAAATAAACTATGGAACATTCTTGAAGAATATGGTGTACCGGGTCAATTATTGGGAAACATTATGGCTCTCTATCAAAATAGACAGAGCGCTGTAAGAACAACAGAAGGTAAGACAGACTGGTTCCCCATTACATCAAGAGTACGACAAGGATGTGTCCTATCACCCCTACTCTTCATCACATATATGGATAAAATTGCACAGGAGTCAAACCAAAACACAGATAGTATAAATGAACTTCTCTTTGCAGATGACCAATGTTTGTTACAAGAAGAAGAACAAAAACTACAACAACATGTTGATTCATTGCTCACTAACTGTACAAAATTTGACATGAAAATAAACACCTCAAAAACTGAAGTAATGACCATAGGAAAGAAACACAGTAATGTAAGCATAAAGATCAATGACATACAATTAGAACAAGTTCAAGAATTCAAGTACTTAGGATGCATATTTACAGAAGATGGAAGACTCGATAAAGAGATACAGGCTAGAGTTCAAAAAGCCAATGCAGTCAACTACCAACTGGCCCCACTTCTTTGTCATCCAAAGATCTCGTTACCAGCCAAACAACGGATGATCAACAGCATTTTCACCCCTACGTTATGTTATCAGTGCCAAACGTGGACAATGAACAAATCACATATGCAAAAAATAACTACGTGTGAAATGCTATGTCTCCGAAGAGTCACCAACAATACACGAAGAGACAGAGTCACAAACGTCAGAATTAGAGACAAAGTTGGAACAAGAGCATGCATGGAACATATTGAAAAACAGAGAGTGAAGTGGTTTGGTCATTTAGTAAGAATGCAACCGGATCAGATTGCCTATAAGGCCTTTTACAATAGAACATCGGGAAGAAAGGCCAGAGGAAGACCCAGGAAAAAATGGATAGATGGAGTAGCTGAATATGGCCAGAAGATCCAGAAAACTCACTCAAATCACGCAAGAGGCACAAAACAAATATTTTAAACCACGACACTGGGCTGCAACCCGGTAAAAGTGAAGAAGACAATAGATAGTTTAGTGTCTGTGACACTTGTTTGTGCTCAAGCTTGCTTTGTTGAATTATCTGTCAATGTGCCCGAGCAGGCTGGATGCACTGAGCAGTAACAAGAAGTGCACTGCAGTGACGATTATGTTATGTAGAGTATGAGGGTCTTGAGCTTGAGAATTTAGGGTCATACTGGCCATGCAGTTATCACAGACTGTGCCTGTTAGGATTATATTTTCCACCCAAATAAAATAAAACTATTCATTACCTTACAAAGGATGTGAACTTGGATTCCCAATTCAGAGCTCAGCATTCTTAACCACTCGACTAGCTGCTCACTGTGTCCACTTTGTACAAATTAAAATGAATTTTACCTTTCAAGTTGGAGTGCATCTGCCTAAGACACAAGGACCTGACAGTTTGCATACACAAACAAAAAGTCAGATCTGTAAAATGGACCTGCACGCAAAACTTAAGTTTTGGAACAAGCATAAAATACAGAAGTGGAGAAACATTCAGGACTTTTTGCTGGAGTTTACAGCTTGTGAATGTGAAGAAAGATGTAGAAGGAAGAAAATAAAGCTAAGATAGAAAAAAAAAGAGATGTAAAATGACCTCTAGGTACATCCACTGTCTCTGTACAACTAATAGTGTCTCAATAGTCTCCATGATGTGAGACAATGACCGCTCCCAATAGTCCACTTCCTTCTCAAAAGCTTTGACAAACCGGGAGGCCTTCATTGTTCCTAGCTGCACCTGGTTATCCTCCAGGGCTTGAAAGATTTCCTCTGTTGACCTGTCAAGTAAAGTAAAGGACTCTTTCAATGACAGTAGCATTTCATGTATATGATGCAGAATCATATTTTAATAGATCAAATAGCACTCCGTGGGTGACATCATGATGATATCAGGGTGATATCATGGTGACATCATCATGGTGACATCATCAGTATCATGCAGACCACCTTTACTTCTGAGGACTTTACCTGTCACACATTTTAGAATGAGTGAACCTGGAAGCCAAATCATTTTTTTTTAAATTTGACTTTGTGCAGATTTGAACACATTACTTTTAGCCTCACAGGTGAGCATCTAGCCGTTGCACCACAGTGGTTCCCAGTAATAACAATAAAGTAACACCAACAAAAATGCTCATGATATGTTTTCCTAGATTTATTTCAATTTTAAATTAGGGTTGCCTGGTACATAGCTTGTGATTAAAGTATTAACTTTCAAATTCTGGGGTAACAATAAGGGGTCATCTTTTTCAAACAGGTCTTATATGCAACAACAACAACAACAACAACAACAAATATATCCAAGGTCCGACAATAAAGTAATGAGACTAATTTCATAAAAATTAAAATAATCAACAGCTGAAGATATAACCTATATTTTATTTAAAGTAAGCCTCTTGTGCATTGATACAGTAAGTAGCACAATCTAACAACCACTGGAACGACCTCTGTAGTTCTTCTGTTGCTTTGGCCCTTAAAGTCGATGTTTCGGCCCTTTTGATGTCATCAATATTGTGAAAGAAGCATCCTTTCAATGGTAACTAATTTTGGGAATTAAAAAATAATCACAGGGAGACAAATCTGGGGAATAGGGTGGATGGTTGAGAACACACACTTGTTTTCGGGGGAAAAATACCTGTTTTGATGATGGCTCATTGGCACTTAACCCGCTGATGTTTTTGGTCATCAGACAACGAATGTGGTACAAACCTGCAAGCAACTCTTTCTTGCCAAAATCTTGCACTACAATTTTACAAAGGGTCTCTCTATTAACATCAGATTCATCTGCCATCATCCTGACAGTAAAACAACGATCTTCTTGTATTCGTTCTGTAACTATTGCAATGAGTTCATCATTACAAACAGAAATTGGTCTAGTTGCATTAGTAATCATTTCTACACCACTTTTGAATCAAGGATACCAGCTGAAAATCTGTGCACCAGATAAACAATTATCCCCATAAACTTGTCACATCAATTCCACTCTCTCAATGGCACCTTTTCCGAGTTATAATTAGAATGCAATGTCAGCTTTTTGCTCCATGCTGATTTCGTAACAATGCCCATCTAACTAGGTCAATAAAATGGCAGCTTGTTTGCCGTCTGCTTATCAGGCAGCTATGCAAAGTTGCCAGATCATAGATGAAGGCTGCCTCTTTAGATTTCATGATTTCCTTCATAAATGGCACTTTTGTCTTGGCTGTAATAAAACCAGTATCATTACTCAATTGTCGGACCTTATATATATATATATAAGAGATCTGACCATTAGATAATGATACTAATTCCATAAAGATTAAAATAATTAACAGTTAAAGATTCAACCTGTATTTTATATAAAGTAAGCCCCTTGTGCATGGTTACAGCAAGTGGCACAATATAACAAACACTGGAATGACCTCTGTAGTTATGGCCCTTAAAGTCGATGTTAGGCCCCTTTGGATGTCATCAATATTATCAAAGAAGCATCCTTTCAATGGTAACTTTAATTTTAGGAATAGGAAATAATCACAGGGAGACAAACCTGGGGAGAAGGGTGAATGGTTGAGAACACCCACTTGTTTTAGGGCAGAAAATTTCTGTACAACTACCACTCTCTGAGCCAGTGCATTGTCATGAAGAAGAAACAGACAGGTGGTGAATATAAACTGCCAAGCAACATTTCTCTTGTTAATTCTTTCACTAAAATTGTACAAATAGTCTACAAATTCATCTACCATCATCCTCACAGTCAAACAACGATCTTCTTGTATCTGTTCTTGGAATTTTCCAATGAGCTTCTCATTATGAACAGAAATTGGGCGTACAGGTCTAGTTGCATTACTAATCATTTCCACACTCATTTTGAATCGTGAATACCAGCTGAAAATCTGTGCATGAGATAAACAATTATCCCCATAAACTTGTCGCATCAATTCAACTGTTGTAATAGGGCTTTTTCTGAGTTTTGAATATAATTTAATCTTAGGTTTGTTGCTCCATGCTTATTACATAACAATACACCTCTGACTAGGTTAACACAATGGTGGCTTGTTTGTTGTCTGCTTATTGGGTGACGTTGAAAAGTTGCTAAAACATAGACGAAGGTTGCTTCTTTGGATTCCATGCTGTGATTCATATATATTATTTTTTTTTCTTAGCCACAAAAAAATCAGTCTCATTACTTAATTGTCGGACCATGTATATAAATATATATATATATATATACACACACACACACACACACACAAACATTCAGTTTCTCACTTTAGTTTGAAATGTCCCTTGTCCTTATATGGAGTAATGTCCAGTTCAGCTGTGACCCATGTTGCAGCAATGGCCTCCAGCCCCTAAAGACAGCAAAGAAAACAAGAATTTATAAAACCTTAGTCAATAAATCAGTTTTTTTAATAGAATAAAACTACTGCCTACAAAAAAGCATGTCGTAAGAGTCGACTAATTTACAGCTTTCTTCGAAGTCAGAGTGCATCTGCCTGGGAGGCAAGGAACCAGCAGTCTGTATACAAATGAGTCAGATCTGTAAAATGGATGCACACGCAACACTCAGGTTCTGGAACAGGACTTTAGTCCGAAAGTGGATGAACAACCAGAACTTTCTGCAAGAGTTTACAGCTGGTGAACACAAAGAAAAAGAAAAAGAAGAAAAAAAAATTATTTTTTGTAGCAAATAATTTCTGAACCTTGAACTTTTGTTCCATGTCTGTGGTGGTTCTCCAACACATAATGTCAGTTGAGTTGATTTGATTCAAAAACTGATATCACAGCACTCTGGAGATTCTATAAGTGTTCCGTCCCCATCTTCAGCAGCCAGCACAGAGTTACAAAGCCAATGGTGCCAGTAGCAGTCTGATTATACATCCATCTTGTCTTTCCGCTGAGTGTCAAGCATCACCCAGAACGCCTTATCACTCCTCGCTGCATCACTCTCACCAGACCATGATGATCAATTTACTGTTCTGAATTAACACATGCTCCCACAGGACATTGTCCCGTAGGACATTAACCATGTCTGCTTTATCAAATATAAATATTACACCACGTTGTGCAGAGCCAGCCAGTCTGCCTGACTGTTCATTTTCCAGCACACATATAAAGAAATACGATCTTAGATACTAAAGAATAAAATTTAAAAGGACAACACCAGAACCGGATTGCAGGTTGTTGCCATTTCAGGATACTGAGAAACAGAGAATTTGTTTTCTAAAAGGTAAAGGTAAAGTCGGGAGATGTGAACCAGCGTCATTGCACACGGTAATAAACCATAAGTGCTCTGCCACCAGTACGGACAGCTGATAAGAAACTGTCCGCCTGTGTCGTCGTTTGCAGGTAACTCTGTAGTTACAGCGACGTTCCTCCATTTACCCCAGAGTGTCAGTTCTTGTACCCATCTCCTAGAGGCTGGGTGAACCCCGGGAGCCGCCCGGTTTCGAACACTGACCGTGGGCTGCAGCGAGTCACAGCTGGATTTGAAAGCGAGCCTCTTATCGACTACCCTAACGAAGCCCCCCATTTGTTTTCTTTAATGCACATGCCCACACAAATGTGTTCACACACTAAATACATGCACAGACACAAATGCAAAGATTGATACAAATATGACTAAATGCAAACAAATATAGGGATACATGGCAAAAAAAGATAATGCAAGCGGGCAGAGGTAAAACAAATGAAAGGCTAGGGGAGGTAAATTCAAGACCTGCTGACCTGTTCAATTGCCAACTCCTTGGTTGCAGCCCCTGAGACTTCATTGATGAATTCTGCGTACTGATCAAAGCCAAAGCCAATGATCTTCTCCAGGGTGAAGTCACTTGCTGTATGGTCAAATGATCTGTTCATTTCATTCTGCACAAGGAGAAAATTACCATCAATTGATCTGTCATTTTGTTCTTTATACAGACAAAATTACCATCACATAAAATTAATATGTAATTGTGCCTTTTTATTTTAGCCTATGTTATATAGTGTTGGTAGCAATGTCTATTCAGCAACATGCTGTCTTGTATGCTTTCAATCAGTTCTGACACAGATGATCTCCCATGCCATGATGTCAAAACTGCTCAGCATCTTCTCTCGCATTCTCCTTCTACCTTTATCCCCTCTATCATGATAACTCCAGTTTTCTCCTTCTCATGACAAGAATGCAGATTGTCTATTGTCATGTGGGAAATCAATTTTCTTCAAGAGTCAGTTTCTTTCAAGCCAACTTCACCCATCTTAACTATAAGATTTGCAGTTTTATTTGATTATACGGTAAGTCCTATTTAGACTTCTTTATCTATGCATTTGAGCCAAACTGGGTCTACTCTACCCAGTGCTCTCAGAGACCTCCAGTTTCCAACCCTCTTAATCTATTCCTCTATGTCAGTGGCTCTCAACATTCCTAATGCTGTGAACCTTAAATACAATTCCCTCATGTTATAGCGACCCCCAAACAATTATTTTCCTTCATGACTTCAATGAACAGGTGTTTTCCCATGGTCATAGGCAACCCCTGTAAAGGGTCGTTCAACCCAAAAAAAGTGTCTCGACCGGCAAGTTGAGAACCGCCTGTCTATGTGTACAAGCACACATTTACTATCAAATGAATTTCATTTCTAATTGGTACAGCAACAAAGTATGGAACTAGCTGTGTATACCCAATTCACATGAAGGTGTGGAAACACACTATCAAAGAACAGAGACAAGACTACCAATAACAGTATATCCATTCTTATTCTTCTTCCTCTTCTTAGAATTCACCAGCGATACATTTTGGAAGATTATTCCCCCACTTTTGCACTATGGTCTTGTTCCAGAACTTGAGTTTTGAATATACATCCAATTGACAGCTCTGGCTATGTTTTAATGGACTGTTAGTTCCTCACCTTCTAACTCTTTGAGTCCCAAGGAACGCATCATACGTTCATAGATTCCAATCTAGAGGTCCAATGAACGCAAGATGTGCCGATTTTACATCTCTTTTGACTACCCCTTGGGCCTCTGATGCTAAATCCCCTATGACTCAAAGAGTTAAGCAGATGCACTCTGACTTCAAAGAAAAACCCTAATTCTTCACTTTTTAGGATATGCTTGTTTGGGGGTCAGTCAATTTATTCTTTTCTCCCCACAAAATGGGGCCCTGGAACCCACAGAGGGAGTATATTTATCAGTCTCTGGGGACCTCCATGGCAAAGTGGTCAAGCCATTTGCCTTGCACTCTGTAAGTCCTGGGTTCATTTCACTGCTGCATCGTTCAGTTCACGAGTTTTTATGAAGATCCCTAGGGATCATTGCCTGAGCTACGGAGATCGTGCTCTGTGCAACACTCTCAGCAGGCAGCTATGGGATACAACCTGGTGTAATGAAGTCGATCCTCTCACTTTTACCTTTACTTGTTACCTTTTACATTCATCAATCTTGCAGAGATAAAATTCTCAGGAACTGATGAGTCCATCTAATGGCTAAATCAAAATTCTCAGGAAATGATGTGTCCATCAAATGGCAAAATCAAAACTCTCAGGAAATGATGTGTCCATCAAATGGCACAATCACAATTCTCAGGAAATGATGTGACCATCTAATGGCAAAATCAAAATTCTCAGGAAATGATGTGACCAAATGGCAAAATCAAAATTCTCAGGAAATGATGTGTCCATCTAATGGCACAATCACAATTCTCAGGAAATGATGTGTCCATCTAATGGCACAATCACAATTCTCAGGAAATGATGTGTCCATCTAATGGCACAATCACAATTCTCAGGAAATGATGTGTCCATCTAATGGCACAATCACAATTCTCAGGAAATGATGTGTCCATCTAATGGCACAATCACAATTCTCAGGAAATGATGTGTCCATCTAATGGCACAATCACAATTCTCAGGAAATGATGTGTGTCCATCTAATGGCACAATCACAATTCTCAGGAAATGATGTGTCCATCTAATGGCACAATCACAATTCTCAGGAAATGATGTGTCCATCTAATGGCACAATCACAATTCTCAGGAAATGATGTGTCCATCTAATGGCACAATCACAATTCTCAGGAAATGATGTGTCCATCTAATGGCACAATCACAATCAGCTCACTTCACCTCCCCTGTACCTTGCAGTTTTGAGATGAAGTAGACCCTGTAGAAAAGTGTCCTTCTCTTTTCTGTGTTCTACATCAGCATTCTGAGCCCTTGAGGTTCAGCAGCAGTGGGCAGCAGGTAATCGTCAGTCCCTAGAGACCCTGGAACTGTTATTTTATCACCATCGACTTCTTTGCACACTGGGCAAACCCATGGGTGCTCAGTCCTCTGATGCGGCAACCATGAAGAATTGGTTATAATATCTCCTGTCTTTACCTTGAAGACGGCACAGTTGTGCTTCACCAAGTATGGAACTGTGCGTCTGATTTTTGGGAAAGCATCTGCTACGACTGTTAAGTCCAATGCGAGTATGATACTCTTTGCCACATAGTCCACATAGAACATTTTCATCCTACTTCACATCAAATTTTGTGTGGATTTGTTCTTGATTAATCAGATTTTACAGATACAGTTTTCTACTGGATGAAATTGCCAGTCTCAAATGAAACTAAGTCCTTTCTTATGACATTTGTGGTTGGTTGAATTGTTATTATTTGTTAGTTAGTCATTTATGGGTTATAGAATAGACCCACTGCCTACCCAAGATCATGTTGTGAGAGTCAACTAATTAGGAGCTTCTTTCGAAGCATCTGCTTGAGAAGCAAGGAACCAGCAGTCTGCATACAAATGAGTCACATCTGTAAAACAGATACACATGTAACACTCAGGTTCTGAAACAGGACTACAGTCCAGAAGTGGATGAACAACCAGAACTTTCTGCCAGAGTTTACAGCTGGTGAACGCAAAGAAGAAGAAGAAGAAGAATGATAAGTTAATTTGTCAACAGATTATACTCATTGCAAAAAACACACAAAAAAACTATTCAGTCCATAAGTGATCAGAACCCTCCTCAGTAAAGTATGCAGCAAGTAGCAGCTAACGACCCCAGTTCTGTGTTGGTTTCTAGTCTTTGGTTCCCTGCATGTTGCTTTTGTCTGGCACACACATTTTATCATGCTGTTCATGCAGTCTGGTCATGAGTGCAGACTGATAGTCACTTGCCTCTCACAAACATCTTATATCTCATACAGCATTCAGTATATCATCCTGGTCGATGCCTTCGCTGTTTACAGTGGCCTTCCCTGCAAGCTTATTAAATTGCTCATTCCTATGCATGAAAATGAAACTGACCTTCGGGAGCCATAACCTCCTCAGAGACACTAAACCAGGATCTTTGGACCCAGCCCACCTCTATCTTCCTGAGAATACATATTGACTACTATTATTTGCTACCCTATGGCAACAGACTGTATAAATGTGTAACAGCCATGCAAAAATAAGACTTTGAAAAACTGTCATTGGTTTTGGAAATAGCAATGGATTTTCCAGTTGCATTTTTCTTTAAATGGTACCCAATTATTATGTTTAAGTCTGTACCATACATGTACCTGTGTACAGATCGTTTGCACCTGGAATGCTTTTTGACTGTGCAAAACTTGGTCTGTTGTTAACATCAGATTCAGAAAATGGCAAATGTGAATAAACTAATGATTTGTTGCTTACAGTGATGATAACAGTGGTTGTAGCGCTGGACTTTTTGTATTGGCATTTTCTTAACTCTTTCAGTCCCAGGGGGTTTAGTATTAGTGGCTCAAGGGTAGTAAAGAGAGGTGTAAAACTGGCACATCCTGCATTCATTGGGCTTACAGGTAGAAACCTGAGAACATATGATGTGTTCATTGGGACTGAAAGAGTTAAGACTGTCTTATGCATTTAATAGGTGTGCATGCTACTGACTCTGCAGAGACTGCAGCCTGTGTCATTTTTCTGTTCACCATTTTTTTTTTACAACAAGGGTCAGTGATAGGTATTCTGCGTGTTTTTAGTGGTACAGGAACTGAGCTCCTGTATGGTGACCCATCTGCTACGAAGCTGAAACTTGGATTACTTGATTACCTGAGAACAGATCATATAAGAAATTCATGAAATCCTTCACCTGAATCTGCTGCCAATGCCTAGGTCTCAGTGCCTTGTTTTTCAGATCAGAAATGAGGGGCATGGTTCTCTTGAACTGGTCCACTTTGGTCTTACTTGCTTCAACTATCTCCCAGTTCTTATCCTGAAAATACAGACAAGGATGATTTGATTTCAATTCATAATATATTACTTTGATTGCAAATGACTATCTCTGTAAGGCTTCCATTATTCTCCTGTAGATGATATATTGAGAAAGTAAAGTACAAGAGCTGCAGCACTAGCAATGTTTCAGATACAGTTAAACTTTGATTAACCATCCTTGTCCGCACCAGGGCAGTAATGGTGGATAACTGAATAGGTGGATAACAAATGTCTCTGAATACATATCTACAGTAATGGGATTTCACTGCTTGCTTGGGACGAAAATTAAAATAAAATCCTTTTGAAGTGAATAATTACATACACACTGTGTTTAATTTTACAAATCAATAAATATCAACTTCAAAATATAAGAGTAGTAATGTACAGAAATTGTGTATTGTAATACTATAAACCTATGTTACTTTAAAATACTCTGTTATCCCCATCTCTATCTTTGAGACCCAAGCTTTCTGCATGGTGATGTTCCGTATCTCACACAGAAGTAGGATCTGTGTTGCATTTGCCTACTTCTTCATTCCAAACCTTTTTATGCACTTTGATAACATTGTTTCCGCTTCTGAGAGGCTACTTGTTGGTTTCTTGGTTAAGAACTGATGCTTCATCATTGTGGACAAAGGTGTGGACACTGTAAGACAAATCATGTCAGCCTCAGCCAGACGTAGACAGTTACTACTCAATACTAAATTGTTGCTGTTGTTTTGTTTTTTTTAATTAGAGGAAAAAGGGAGGAGGGGTGGGGGGTTGGGATAATTTGACAAAACAAGCTGTTTATTTCTCACTGATGATTTTGGTACGCTTTCTTTGTGACTTAGCCATATCTAAAACATTTAAATTACTCATTTTGGTTGCCCAATGTACATTAAAACATATTCTGAAAAACTTTGTATCTGTAACTTCAATAAATTCTTTTGATTGTTTCCAAGCTATTTGGATTCTCAGTCATTCATTTATTTTTATGTAAATTGCAATAATTTTTTTTCTTAACACTGTAAATATTTATTGCATAAGCTGTTCTTCATTTAATAATGCTTGTCCTATTAGGTTCTCTTTTTACTCTCAGCCTTGTCTATGTCTCACAGACTAATCTCTTTTCTCTCATAGAAAGCATCTAGTTCTCACAGACAGTTCTCTATTTCTCACAAACAATTCTTTACTTCTCACAGCCAAAATTGTAGCTTCTTTAATTATTCTGAATTTAACTGGAAATCAAATGTCGTACAGTGAGGCAGAAGAAACACAAAATGCTTGCACGATACGACATGACTAAGCTTCAGGACCAACAACCATGAAACAGTACCTTGAGTGAACGACTAAATTTAGCCAGCTGTTTGAACAAGGAAATGGAAACATTTTCCATCTCTGACGTCTCCAGCTCTGCAAAGTTGCCAGATTTCCAGGAATCCCAGTAGTTTTCCCACTCTTTCGTCAGCTCCCAAACACTCTTTAGGTTTTCCAGATCCTGGAAGAAACAGAAGAATAGACGAAAGTGATTAATTCCAACATTAAGCTACCAGTGCCACACATGGACACTATCCAAAACCCATGTCTGCAAAATCACCACCTGCGAGATGAGATGCCTGAGAAAAGCCACCAACCTAACTATCCGAGACTGAGCGAATAACGATACTATCGGACAAATTATGGGAACGACACCTTTTACTAGATTCTTTGAGAAACAGCAGATCAAGTGGCTTGGCCATCTAGTTAGAATGAAGCAAGATCAAATACCATCACAAGCACTACATCTCAGAAGATTAGCTTAAGATCAAGAGGACAACCATGAACCAAATTGATTGACAACATTAAAGACATCTTACACCTTCACAGCATGACAATAGCCAGTGGCAGCCAACGTGCATTTGATTGCAAATTATTCCTCCCCACAAATCTTAATGGCAGAAGTGGTTTATGATTATGATGATGATGAAGGAGAAAATTACTGGTGAGAGGTTAAGAGCTAAATATCTAACCACAAAGTAGCACATAAAAAACATGTGATGGCAAAAATGGTTCTCAAATCTCTTGTCCTAATTCTGGAAGACTTCTTAACCCTAGAGACCGCTCTCCCGTTTTTCCGGGAATTTCATAACTGTTCTGTACACCGCTGGCCCTAAATTTAGGCTATTTGCATAGTGCGTGAAAAAGATGCGTCACTGACTAAAAATAACCAACCAATCGCCGTCAGTCCACTTTGTTAGAGATTGCAAATATATTATCTGTGATAATTTCATAAAGAATACATTCTTGAAATGACACTGTCAGTGAGAGCGAAAATGATGAGGAAAATCTTGAAAATTATCAATCTTGAAATAGATTGCTAGTAGGAGGGGGTGTGTCCATCAAACGGCAACATCTGGTGTTCACTTTGTGAAACAAAGTTGATCCTGATGAGTGAATTAGCACAAAGGTGGAATATTGGCTCTAGATAAAAGGTAAGCCTATTTTCTGCAATGTCTCCAAGTTTCATCATATTCTAGCCACTTGTTTGCATGTAACTAATATTTTTGTATATCAAGTTGGTTTTTTTGCGGTAATGCCCAGGAGCTCAGGTTATAGGGACAGTTAGGTTCAGGGCCTTAGGTCTGATAGGCTTAATGTGTGTTGATTTTGTTAATCACACTCGCCATCACCATGGGCTGTAAATCTCATGCTTCCCACTACAGTATAATATAAAACTTTCATCTGGAAAGATAGAGAGGTGCCAGTACGGAAGAAATGAAACAATTATTTCAAGAACATTCATTTCCCAGATAATTATTATTTTTAAGTGAGAACAGTTTGAGCAAGAGTTCAACTTCTTCTTCTTAGAGTCCATGTCGTGTGGCTTTGGTAGTCACATCTATCCACAATCTCTCTCGTGTACTTTCAATCAACTCTGACACAGAAGATCTTGAATGCTATGATGTCAGAATGTCCAATATGTGTTCTATCGGTCTCCCTCTGCCTCTTCCCCCCCCCCCTCTCCAACTTTCCTATCGTCAAGAGATCAACTTATCTGGAATAAAGCTGATTTAACTCTTTCGGCGATAAGGGGCTTTTTTTTTAACTACTATGTTCAAAGAATTTGTTCTTCTTCTATTTTTTCTCAACTCCTGAAATGCCTTTTGGTGTCAGGGTAGGCAGTGATCTCTTGTTGGTGAAATCTGGCTAATCCAGGCTGCGCATCCATGTCCACCAACTGGACACTGATACAGAGTCCTGCTCGTTGTCACAATCTGCTCTGCTCAGTGCAGCTCACAAGACATTAATGACATCAGTCCAGTACTGGGCCAGTTATGGTAGTCTTTCCAAACATGGATACTCTGTCTATCCCAGACAGTGTTCACAAAACTGACCTTATATATAAATATGGGGCTGACTGCAGTCAAGCTAATACAAGGAATTCCAGTGAAATGTGACTAAAAAACCTAACGAAATGGAGAAGAAGAAAACGTGCACAAAACAACACAAATAATGTTTAGGCCGGCAGCCTTTGTCAAACATGAAGAGAACTACACAAATGTAGTATTATATATTACCAATATTACTTTTTATTTTTTATGACTATATATTTTTTAGCCATCATTTTTTACAATTTCATTTCGTTTACTCCACATCACATTTTTTTAACATTGCTCACATCACACCTTAGAGATCTGAATACTCTCCTCTTTGTTACATTTGTGAAGTTCACTTCAGTTTGACAAAGGCTGTTGGCTGAAACGTAATTTGTGTTGTTTTGTGCAGGTTTTTCTGCTTCCACATTTTGTTAAGCTTTTTAGTCACATTTCACTGGAATTCCTTGTACATACAGCAGATCAAAATTTACAGGAATGGCAGTAGCCAGTCTATCAGACTGCTCATTTACCCAAACATCAAATCTAGAATTGAAAAAAGTCAATAAAAAGCAGAGAAACAGGTTATTTTTGTGTTACCAGAGTCTTAAATGGAGAACAAAAAGATTGCACCTTACAGAATACATTGTAGGAGCCAATGGTAAGCTATGGTTTGGGGCTGGTTACTTTATTCGTTCAAACATCATAGCTACAAGCCAAACAAGAACAAATTAAATAAAAAAAAGAAAGAAGAGATTCCTGCAGCTGTATACAAATATGATCCAACTTGACATAGAACATAACATGTTGTGGAGGTATACATAATCCACCTTAACATAAAACATGACATGTTGGTTAAGCAGACATGATCCAACTTGACACAGAACATGGCATGTTTTGAAGGTAGACATGATCCAACTTGACATAGAACATGACATGTTGTTAAAGCAGACATGATCCAACCTGACACAGAATATAGCATGTTGTGGAGGCAGATGTGATCAAACCTAACACAGAACATGGCATGTTGTGGAGGCAGACATGATCCAACATAACACAGAACATGGCATGTTGTGGAGGCAGATGTGATCAAACCTAACACAGAACATGGCATGTTGTGGAGGCAGATGTGATTGATCCAATGTAACACAGAACATGTCATGTTGTGGAGGCAGACATGATCCAACATAACACAGAACATGGCATGTTGTGGAGAAAGATGTGATTCAACATAACACAGAACATGGCATGTTGTGGAGGCAGACGTGATCCAACATAACACAGAACATGGCATGTTGTAGAGGCAGACGTGATCCAACATAACACAAAACATGGAATGTTGTAAAGTCAAAAGTGGTCACCTTTTCCAGTAGAGTCAGATCTCTATTCAGTGGCTGATCTATTTTAAAGATGCTGAGGCCACGACGGATGGTCATTTCCTGTTCCTTCAAAGTCTCCATCTGCAAACGAACAGCCTGGATTGTTGCAAGAGCTGTGTCTGTATCGATGTGTGACGTGAATGGTCCGTTGGTCTCAAAGTCCTTGAAAAGTTCTCCAGCTTGTTTCTTGAAGTCCTCAGCTTGCTGCAGAAGTCCTGCTTTGAAGCGCTCCTTATTTTGGAAAACAAATTATGAAAGTTAACGTTCATTGTACATGACTTAAAGAAAGCTAAGTAATTGATGACATTTCTAAGTTGGCACTTTTCCATCTTTCCAGGTGTTGTGAAATGAGCAGTCAGATAGACTGGCCAGTTCTGTTCTACACCATTTGGTGGTGAATTGATGTATAACAAACTAGACATTGTGAGGGCCATTTGGGAGTGAATGAACAGAGCAGAGAGACAAATAGATCACTGTGGTCTGAGGAGAATGGGGTTGCGAGGAGTTACCATGAATCTGGCCAACGCTAAACATTCACAGAAAAGATGAGACAGATGTACAATCAGACAGTTACTGGTACCATTGGAATTGGAACTCTTTGCTTGCTGCAGAAGATGGGGGACGGAGGGCTTATGGGAGTGTCCTGAGTGCTGTGATATTGATTCTAACAAGTTGAATTAAGTAAAGATTTGACACTACAGCACTCGGGGCATTCTCATGCATGCTCCGTCATCTTCAGCAGCCAGCGCAAAATTCTAATCCTGATGGTAACGGTTACAATCTGGTTATATGTCCGTCTTGCCTTTCCTATAAGCAGAGCGAGCTGGTCAGACCCTCTGGTTACACCCAGGTGCCTCATTCTCTCCAGGCATAATAATCTTCTTTCTCTGCTGATTCCTTTGCTTGTTCCCAAAAGGCCTTGAACACATCTGCCTTGTCATGTTTTAATTCATCACCCAATGGTGCAGATCCAGCCAATCTGTCTGCCTGTTCATTTTCCACCACGCCGTCATAGCCTGGAGAAAAGATCCAAAGCATGCCCACTAAACGTGACCTCTCAAGTGAAGCTTGCCACTCTGCTCGAACCATCCCTGTATTCACCTTTTTATTGATTCTAAATGCAACATTTAACATTCAAAGTATGTGATGTCTTGGTGCAGGATTTTCTCTTTAAATGTTATGTTATTATTAGAGGTTGGGGTGAATTGTTTCTATGACTGCTAAAACCAAACTGACATTTCAATTTTCAACATTAGAATTATAGAATTAGAATGCTACTGGAACCATTGGTTTTAGAACTCTGTGTTGGCAGCTGAAAATGGAGTGGAGCACTTGTGGGAATTCCCAAGTGCTGAATGTCAGTTTTTGAATCAATTCAACATTAGAGTTCTTGAAATTAGCATTTTTATTATAAGAATTCTTAGTAATACTGTAATAATTCTTCTCTTTATTATTTTTTTTTTTTTAGTGTATTGCATTGTTTTGCTTACTGACACTCGGCAGGAGGCTAGCCATTTTGTGCAGTGAGACCAGATGGGATAAAATCTGGCACAATTAAGCTGATCCTCTTTAAAGCTCTATTTCCTAGATAGTTTCCATAAATTATTGATCATCAAACTGTCCTTACCTTGTTTTTCTTCAGCATATTTTCTGCATCCACTAGGGCAGCCTGAAAATTCTCCCATTCCTGAGGCAGCTCATTCAACATTGTTGTTACCTGACAGGAAATGAAGACAGTTAAATATGAATATCGTGCCATGTCTCAGGAAACCAAGAAAGGCTACTCCAGTTAACAAATGTGCTGAGCACAAAGATCGTGCCTGTGCTGAAAACAGGCAGAACAAAATTACATCATTTGGGCAATAATAGAAAATTTGGGGAAAGGAGGAGGAGGAGGAGAAGAAAAAGAAGAAGAAAAAGAAAAAGAAGAATACCAGAGTTAACTCTTTAAGTCCCAGGGGGTTTAGCATCAGAGGCCCATGTGGTAGTCAAGAAAGAAGTAACATCAGCACATCTTGCATTCATTGGACCTCTAGATAGGAATCTATGAACGTATGATATGTTCCTTGGGACTCAAAAGAGAAAGGGGAAGCATTTTTGGAGAGATTTACAGCCCACAACTGATCATAATGATAGGGAACTTAGAAATTAAGTTAGAGATGATTTGTCTTATAATATAAATGATAAATATTTTCAGGATATCATTAGGTGGAGGATATAAAATGTATATTGCAAAAAGCCAAAACGACACTACGCCAGGGCTAGAGTCAGATATGCCCATTTGAAGATCATGAGTTATCACGACTTGGGAGAGATGGCTTTTCAATTTAACCAGAGCATCAGAACAGCTTCAGTACCCCAGGGATGGGTACACAGCTACCTAATCCCACTTCCAAAACCAGGTAAAGATCATTCCAGACTCAGCGGTTTCAGGATTATCACCCTATAAAATAGTTTTTACAAGATGTTAGAGAAGAGTGTTACTATTAAACTACAAATGTTTTTGGGATGGGAAGAGCTCCTGCCCACAGGCTTGGGTAGTTACTGGCCAAGGAAACATGCCTGGTCAAATGCAGCCACTTTTGCTTGTGATGTTTATAAAGGCTTTCAGAATAAACAGGAGATGGTAGTGGCAGCACTTGATCTTGAGGATGCCTACAATAGAGTCAGATTTGATATTTTGATATCTGCGCTCAGAGAGAAGGGAGTTTGTCCCCAGCCAGCTGGTGAAATGAATAGCAGCTGTCCTTCATTCATGTACTGTTGCCCTTTGCTTTGCATGGGTGCATGGACCTTAGAACCATGTAATATCGCCCCAGGACTACCCCCAGAGTTCTGCAATTTCACCAATGCCCTTCAACAGGTTTACAAGCAAGATTGCAGAACTTGAAGCCCCAGGTGATGGAAGGATATTGACATTTGCAGAAGATGTTCTTGCACACAGGCAGGGAAGTGATAAGAAACAGATAGCCCAAGAGCTACAGGCAACTGTAGACAAAGTGACTGACTGGTGTGCAGAGATGGGTGCTGTCATCAACTCAGAAAAGTTGGCTGTTTTATGGTGCTCTCTGGACAATAGAACTGTAAGAGCTAAGCATCACAGACTGAAAAGTAGAAAATCTTGGATGGCGCAAGCTGAAGACACAATCAGACTTGTGTGCAGACTTGATTAATTTGGGTGAGGACAGGAGTGGGTCAAAGTATCCAAGCAAGACTCAGATTTGTGTAGGGTTCTAATCCCTTTAGGTCAAGAGCGCAGAAACTGGCCAGCTGGTGCTGCAGAATCAGAAGTTCAACAAATGATTCATGATAATTCCCAGCCAGGTGATGTGATTACCTATACAGATGGCTCTTTGTTGAGAGGTAGACGAAGTGCATGGGGCTTCATAGCAAAAGAGAATAGACAATGATTAGTGCAAGAAAGCCTGAAATTTGACATCACAGCATCTAGTTTGAGAATGGAGGTGGAGGCAGTCATTACTGCCTTCCACTGGATTGAGAAGCAGCTATACACACATATCATAATTGTAACTGACTTGCAGAGTATGTTGAGAAAATTGGTGACCAGCAGGCTCAGTGTAGAAAGGCTAGCTACAGAGATCCTCGGTAGTCTGCATCCTTTAGCTATTTTTTCCATGGTATGCAGGTGTATTAGGAAAAGAGCAGGCAGAAAGACTGGCTGGTTTTGCATTGGAACTCTCTTCTTGCTGCTGAAGATAGGGATGGAGCACCTATGGGAGCGACCTGAGTGCTATGATGTCAATTATTAGTTCAAGAATCAACACTGATATATAGGAGATACGGCAAGTAGGGCGATGCACTACATTCTAGTTTTTCCGGTCACAACAAATTTGCCGAGCTTGAGCCTACCTCATAGTTAACACAGACACAGGACACCCCGTCCATAATGAAATTAAGAAGAAAAGAGGCAGCAGGTTAAAAAAAAATAAGAAAATCATGGATGGGTCAGGCTGAGGTGGGTCAACAGGTGTGTTTACTTGAAAACAAAGAACCTGGTGAGAAATGTGTACAAGTTCCAAAAAACTGTTGCACAACTTTTTCTGTTTGCGTCCGACTAGACAGAAAGGGGAGACAATAGAGTCTGGCAGCTGGGGAGGCCTAAGCGCAGTCCTTGATTCTCAAGAATTCTCTAGAGGAGGATAGCGGCGTCCGTGGCTTAGGCGTTGTGAGTCCAACTCGTAATTCCAATGTACTGCGATTTTCATTATGGAATGGGGCAGCCAGGTCAACCCAGCCTGAAATCGGTACCATGATGGAAGTCTTGGGGAAGTAAAGATAGCCAGCGTAATGCTGACCACATTACCCACCTAGTGCCGATTGGTCTGTGAAAATATGGGTGCTCTTCCTATATGCCCGATGTGCTGATATACTGAATGCTCTACAAGATGCTAATTAGGCATTTGCGAGAACCAGGTGATAACTGAATCTGCAGCCATACAAGAACAACATGTTAAAAGGGGTGTAGCCACACAAGAGCAATTTGCAGGAAGCCAAGAAGAATAAGAAACCAACACAGGTATGTGGTTGTCAGCTGCTACATGAGGATCTGAGCACTTATGGACTGAATGGTTTCATGTACAATGAGGATAATCTGTCGACTGACTGATTAAAACATTGACAAATATCTGCATTCTTACAGGTAACTTATTCAGGCGCACACAACAGCAAATTTATGAATTCATAGATAAGCTATCCAGCATCAATTCATGTATGTGTTTTATGTAACATCAACCATCAGTAACAACATAGCACACAAATTGAGCTTACTTCTTTTGAAATAGGTACTTCATACTTCTCCAGAATCACAAACTGTTCGTAAAGAGGTGGAAACTTTTCTTCAGTAGCTGGCAAATCAGCATTTAGTTTATCCCATAGTGCGAGGCTGTCACTCAGCTCATCCAGGGTCTGTGGAGGGATGGCCACCCTGGAAGAAAAACATGTCATCATCATCATCATCATCATCATCATCATCATCATCATCATCTTCATCATCATCATCTTCATCATCACTGTCATATTTATTATCCTCTTGTATGCCGCTTTTGTTGTAAGATCTTTCATATGCTGGAGGTTTTGCATCAGAGACCCAAGAGGTAATCTTCTTCTTGTTCACATCTGTACAGATGCCCCTGTGTTGAGGGGCACACAAAGTGCACGGGCTTTTGTAGCAAAGGGGAATGGACATCTCCTAGTGCTGCAAAGCCTTGCATATGATATCACAACATCATGTTTGAGAATAGAGGTGGAGGCATACTCTGCTGCCTTTGGCTGGCTTGACAATCAGCTGTACTCACATGCCGTGATTGTAACTGACTCACAGAGCTTGTTGAGAAAGGTGAAAACAGGCATGCTTCATGCAGAGTGGCAAGCATCACTTCAGAGGTCCCGGGTAGTTAGCATCCTTTGGATATTTTATACAGGTCATGTTGTGTTGGGAAATGAGCAGGCAGATATACTGTCTGGCTCTGCACCACTTGGTGGTGAACAGATGTATGACAGGTTAGATATTGTGAAGGTCCTTTGGGTGCGAGTGAACAGTGAGAAAGCGCAAATAGATGATTAAGGTTTAAGGAAAATGGAGGAGTTACCAGTGGATGTGGTCGACGCTCAACACTCAGGGGAAGGATGAGACGGATATACAATCAGACGGTTACTGGTACCATTGGAACTGGAACTCTTCGCTTGCTGCTAAAGTTGGGACTAAGCACTTATGGGAGTGCCCCAAGTGCTGTGATGTCAATTCTTGACTCAACTCAACTCATACCATCATAAGTGGAACGCATCACTGGGTGCAGAAGATGTGGGCTGAGAACGTTTGGGGGATGTCCCAAATGTTATGTCAGTTCTTGACACAACTCATTTTCAAGTACTGCGTCTTCCAGTATTATTCTTTTGAAATTACTCTATCTTTCATTCATCTTTATCTGCATGTGCCCTTTAAAAAAAAAAGGGTGTTGGCATATCCTGTTGTAGTTTACAGCTAGACTGTGCTATCTGCATTTTTCAGCCCAACAACATCCAATTTCAATAAATCAATTAATTTCACTTTACAACCTATTTGTTTAGGGGTGGTGTGTCTATATTTTCCCCCCAAAATGAGGACCTCAAGCTAACATAAAGCACCCTTCCCCACGCCTTTAGAAGTACTGGGCATACAGGGCTAGACCTATGTTTTACAGATCAATTGGCACTTGGTAAGTGTGTGGTCAGCATCATGCAGGCCGCCTTTGTATCCCATGACTTTTACCTTGTACCCATTTAATACTGGGTCAACTTGGGGGAAAAGATCATTTTAAAAAAAAAAGTCCAACACTGTCTGGATTTGAACTCACAACCTACAGATCCACAGGCGAGTGTCTAGCCACTACAACATGGTGGATCTCAGACATCATAAGGCAGTGCTATTCAACTAAGTTTACCGAGGTGCCAAAATTTTGAAAACGAGGATCGTCATGGGCCAGAAGGCTAAACCTTAGCATAGAAAGATCATTAATAAAAAAAACAACTGGCAATGATCCACGGGCCACTTGCTAGGCCTCTGTGGGCCAGATTTGGCCCGCGGGCCACCAGTTGAGGCAACCCTGTCATAAAGGAATGTGTTTAACTAAAACTAAATTTTAAGAAGTCAAATTTTTGTTAAGTTTTCTGACTTTCTATAACTTTACTTACTTAATGGCATTGCTTTTTAGGTATTCTGTCAGGTTTTTCAATGTTGCTACAGCGATCTCACTCAGCAACGTGGTGAACTTGTTCTGCCACTCCTGACAATGACTCAAAATAGCATATTTCAGGGGAGAACAATCCAGCAAAACAAACTGTATATTGAGGATGGTCTCCTGCGTTTGGACATTGTTGGCCACTTCGTTGTATCTGAAAAATAATTATGTTTTGTTTCAGATGCAATTATCAAGTGGCAAAAAACTGTTTATCATATTACCTACTGGTTTTCACTTAACTGTGGCCCTGTACAGAAGAAAAGAAATACTGACATTCTAACAGATCTGAACATCAAGAAAGATTGGCTTACAAGAAGCAACTTGTCTCAGAAGCTGAAATATTTTGGCCAAATCAAGTATCATGGCTGATTGGAAATAAATAAATAGCAGCAGGCATGGTACCAGGATGGAGAGGCAGGGACCGACCATCATGAAGATGAGTAAGGATATTTTTGACTCCATGAATATGAAAGTGCATGAGGCAGGACAGCTGGCAAGAGACCAAGTTTCTTTCAGGTAGACCATTATGAGAGTGACGTTCTGCAAAAAGACCTGCTGCACGATGATGATGTTGGTCGGTGATCAGTGGCATAGCAAGGGCAGGTGGTACCTGTTGTGGAAAATCTCCTGTCACCCCCTACATACATACACACTTTCTTTTTGTTGTGAACATAAAAAATGTTTGCCATTTTTGCCACCCCTCAGTGATGACACTGCCGTGGTCATGTGGTTTCCCCCCCCCCCCCCCCCCCCCCCCCTTTTCTATAAAGTGTTCTCCAACTGTAAACTCGAGCCGAAAGTTATGGTCATTCATCTATTTGAAATTTGGAAATTTGGTCTTGTCCCAGAACTTGAGTTGTGTGTGCATGCCCGCTCTACAGATCTGGCTTATTTGAATGCAGACTGTTTGTTCTTTCCCTCTCAGGCAGAGGTACTCCGATTTTAAAGGAAATACCTCCAAATAGTCATCTTTAAGGAAATGCTTTTTTGGGATTAATTGACCTATCACCCCCCCCCCCCCCCCCCACCCCCCCCCACAAATGGAGCTAAGTAGAAAACACCAAGATATTAGGTGTTTGAATCTGCATTAAGGTGGCAATTGTTAAAACATGAACTATGCTCCCAGGTCAGTAGGCCTGAATCTGGTTTGGGGAAGTAAAGTGGTTGTTGTAATAGTGACCATCACATCTCACTGAGAGTCAGTAGGTCTATACAAAAAATATGTTGGCCTCATACAATAAACACATCTTATTCATGGATAAAAGTTATTTATTTATTTTTACAAAATGAACAGGGTTTTCTTTCACATCTTGTAATTTGGCACTTTATTCAGCCCCAAGACATCTCTACAGTTTGTGAAAGGCTGTCCCCCATTTCATATCTTTGCCCTGGTAATACACTTACTCGAGCGGATAGGGGGACGGTTTTCATTTGTCCTCTAAGCCACCTTGGTGGTTCATGTCCTCCACCTTCAGCAGTATTTTGGAACTGAGTGGCTTGCTCTGCACCTTACTGCTTTCATTATCCTGTAGCACCATTGTGTGTGTCATAGGGTTCGCAGTCTATTCCTCTATTCCACTCCATCCTGTACAATCACTTTGATATCATGTAAGGAATCCAGACCCAGCATCCCTGACTTCTCTCATCAATGTTCGCTTTATACTTTCTCTTGGAGATCCTTGTTTCCTCAGCCCCTCTGTTTCCCATTTCAGTGTCTGTTTAGTGATTTTCTGCTGGTCTCTTTTCAAAATGTGTCCAATATAGCACCTTCTTCTCTGTCTTTTAACTGTTGAAACATGTGGCTGCCTAAACATTTATCTAATTTGTTTCAGTCCTCCTGAATTCATCCCATTTTATGTTCATCATTATTCGTTCTCCAACTTTCACTGGCATATTTTTACTCTTCAAGTCCCAAGGAGTGCATCAAACGCTAATCAGTACCTACCCAACCACCACGTCTGTGCATGACGCATACTGGTTTTTAATTTACCGAAGGCCAATATAACAATGCAAACCGGCAGTTGTGAATGATATTTCCTGTTTTCTGTGTTCGAAGTCACACGTACTAACCATTAAGCTTATTTGCAAATATAGTTGAAGGCATAAAATATAGCATGTTTGTGAGCTTTACCGAGTTACTAAGTGTCTGTGCGAAAACAATATGGCCTCCGAGCAGAATTCTTCATGCATGCCAACAAGATTTATGAACTTAATAAACCTCGTATTTAAATAAAACATGTGTTTATCAGATTTATCTAAAACCAGAAAAAGAAAGTTACAAAGTAGACTAGTTTCAGTCGTGAAGAAAAATCAAACTTTGATGAGGAATACCTATGATATATACCTCACACAAAGCTTTCAACGCTCACAAAGTCAGCTGGAACAAAGAGAATATTAGTGAAAAAAGCAGTATTTTTCAGTGACAGAGGTGCGATTCCCTTCTTTTTTGGGATCATAGGTTAGTTGCGCATCCTTTACAGAACGTTGCAGAACCAACCCTAACAGCCGCTGGTTGTTGTGTAGTTTTTCTAGGCAAATTTATGTCCAGTAGTTTGCCACTGCTTTCTGGATGGTCAGCTTTCTTGATACCACTGTCGAAACCAATGCAAGGTGCATGGCCCGCAGCTAGGATCGAACCCGGCATCTTTGAATTACGAAGCGTTCGCATCGACTTAGCCACAGAGCCGACTATTTGGGATCACATTCTTTGAAATTACGGGAAAACTGTGTATTATATAAAGTTTGCTCATTGTAAAGATACTGAATGCTCTAGCAGTAGTTACTTAGAGCAATGGAAGTTTGAGTAAGAAATGGTGCATATAATATCACTATGGACAACAGGAGCTGAAGTCCCAGCTGGGACACAATGGGTTAAGGCTACAGCTGCATGAGGCACATGGATGTCATAAAAGCATAGCATGTCAACACTCATATGGTGAGTTTCTTGCGAACTGAAGGAGCTATTCTGTATTTCTAGAACCACAATGTTTGTGTTGGTATTTTTGATGGCAGCTTAAAGCATTTAATGACTGTGCATGTTAATGGCTTTACTGAGATTTTATATATATATATATGCATATATCAGTAAAATATTCTCAGCACAAATGGAACTAAATTTTTATCAACACAAACTCTTACCTGGCAATATCTGCATCAAAGGATGAGTTCTGTGGATTCAGCTTTTGGTACCTTCTAATAAAAGCATCCTTTTGAATCTCCCAGATTTCTCTGCAATCAAAATGCAACTGATCAAAATATCAATACTGAATGTAAAAAAAAAATGTCAAGGTATCTAGGCTTGACATCAAACAATAACAAGCATTTATAACATAAGAGCATTAAAAACATTCTTTTTTAAAATGTGAAAGACTTTGGAATACCAAAGTAGTTAATCAACATGACCAAAGAAGTTTATTACCACAGCCAAACTATGTATGGAAGACACTTATGATTTAGTAACACATAAAGGCAGAAAGTCAGACCCTTTTAAAATATTTGGTTTAAAGCAAGGCGATGCTCTGTCCCCACTTCTTTTCAACTTGACCCCAGGGAAAATTATAAGGAAACTGAAGAAAAAAAAAAAGTTCTAAAGAAGAAACTACAAGAATACCTGGTTACGCACTTGACATTGATACTGGTGAAGAAAATAAACTAGAGACTGTAAAAACACTGACTCTCTTAAAGGAAGCAGCTCAAAACTGGGACTTTTTAATCAATCCAGATAAAATTGAATTTACCCTAATAACAAGACAGGGAAAGGATAATAACTACACACACATATACCAATCGAAAATATAAAGTCAAATGCAAGGAAACAAATAAGTATTTGCATGCAAACTTCAGCTGCTCCAACATATTAAAGAAGAAATGTAATCTAGATTACAATGTGGAAATAAAGTGTGCCACGCCCTACAACACCTGCTAAAATCTAAGTCTCTGTCTCATAGTATCAAGATCCAAATATATAAAACACTGACTGATAACAGTTGTTTTGTATGGCTTTGAAACTTGGAGCACAACTAAAAGAGATGAAGCTTTTTTAACAAAGTTTTGAAAACTAGCAAGTGAGGCAGAAAAAAGAAGAAGAAGAAAATGAAGATTTGGTTCAACATACCTGTATGCATCCCAAGTGCTCAGGTAGCTCTGTAGATTCAGAGCATTGCTCTGCATCCCAGAACTGATAACCATTTGAATCTTCTTGATTTCGTCATCACACGCAACTGTTTCACTGATTGATAACTAAACACATTAAACGTAAAAACAAAGTTATAGAATGCAACACACTTGGAGGGCATGTGAATAAGAGGTAACAAGCCACTCAATATGGTGAATTACTATATACAACACAGACTGTTTCGTAATAACCTACGAGAAAGAATGGAAAAGATGCGTTTTTCACTGCAGCAGTTGAGTTTTCTATTTATATCTTGTGCTGTATTTAGTATTTCTTGATATCAGCTACACTGCAGTCTCTGGTCTTAACATCCACACTCAACATGAGACTTGTAAAGCCAAGCCAGTTTTTTTTTTTTTTTTTAGTTTAAATCGGGCATAATATTTTTTTGAAACTATCATCAATGATAAATTTGAAGTGTACTGGACACCTAAATAGCAGTATCTCTTTTAAGATAAGACTATCTTTGCCCAGAAAATCTAACCCAGAGAAGAAAAAAAAATGAGTGCAGAAGTTGGATGTCAGCTGAAAGGTGCAAATACTGCAGCAATGTTGCAAATATTTTATTTAATATTAAATGTAACATTATAAAGTGCATTTATAATAACATGCAATAATAATAATAATAATAAGCCAGGAAGAGAACGGTGAACACTGGGGATTGTGTCAGGGTCCCTCCCCCACCTCACTATGAAACAATTTTGATAAACTCACAGAAGATTGCATTAGATTGGGCACATCATGAGGAAAAGTGGACAGAGAATCACTAAACAGATACAGAAATGGGAAATAAACTCACCGAGGAAACATGGACATCTAAGATAACCCCGGTGATGAACAGTGATGATAAAGGGCAAAGGCACTGGACGATTCCATTAATGATATCAAAGAGATTGCACAATAGAATATACAGTAGATGGATAAACTATTAGCTTCATGTGATGTAAGGACACATGATGATGATGATGATGATGATGATGATGAAAAAAAGTTAAAAAGTTAAAGTCGGGAGATGTGAACCAGCGTCACTGCACATGGTTATAAACCATAAGTGCTCTGCCACCAGTATGGACAGCTTATAATAAACTGTCTGCCTGTGTTGCCATCCGCACGTAACTCGGTAGCTACAGCGACATTCCTCCATTAACCTCATTGTTAATTCTGGTATCCATTTCCTAGAGGCTGGGTGAACCTGGGAAACCGCCTGGTTTCGAACACCGACCGTGGCTGCAGCAAGTGGCCAGGGGGACCTCAGGTCTCAGTAGAGGGGAAGAGGAGAAAACAAAAAACAAGAAAGACCTGGATACAGGATTATTCTCAATAGTAAGGCTTTAAATATACAAACAACAAGGTTGCATCAAAGTCCATTGCATCAGACCAATAGAAGGTGAGAGATCTGATTAGAGAGTTAAGGGCAAATAGTGATCCAGCAACAATCAGTGTTAAGGGATTATGATCATGATGAACAAAGCAGCCGAAATGCTGGCCCCGTGTGCTGAAAGAGGAGAAAAGGACTACAAGACAATATATAATATATATATATATATATATATATATATATATATATATATATATATATATATATATATATATATATATATATATATATATATATATATATATATATATATATATATATATATATATACATATATATAATAAAAGTCGGCGTCTGTGGCTAAGGCATTGCGCACGCGCTTCGTAATGCCGGGTTCGATCCCAGCTGCCGGCCATGCGCCTTGCGTTGGTTTCAACAGTGGTATCAAGAAACCGACCGTCCAGAGAGCAATTTCAAACTACTGGAGGTAAATTTGCCTAGAAAACCACAACAGACAATGCTGGTGTTGGTTCTGCAACATCCTGTAAAGGATACGCAACTAACAACAACAAATAATAAAATCATTATGAAATTGTGAAAACTCACATCTTTGGTTGACTTTTTACTTGTTAGTAAATCTGGCAAACGTTTGATGTCAGCAATGGCTTTGATTAAATGGTATTTGCCGATGTCCCCAACTATTGTTGCCAGTTGTTGTAGTGTGGGTGAAAATTCAACCTGAAATTATTAACGACACAAAAAAGGCAAATATGATTAGGCACAAAGGATAAATTAAAGTACATAAAGAGGAGTCTGAAAGAGTTAACGCTGCAGTTAAGTTTACAAAAGTTTAATTCCTCATCACAAACAACATTTGTTATTGTCACAGACCTCGGTGTGACCTTGACGGTCCCTGGCTCGTAACTGGGCCTATGACAGACAAACTAACCTTTAACACACACTGAACCCGAACGCACACAGAGCACACATGACAATCTTTATTGTGAGTACAGTTAATACAACAGACAGTTGACTTCCCGCTGTGTGGCCACCTATTGCCTGGACCCTCTGGCCGAACAAGCTTTACAGTCGCCTCGCTCCCCAGTACGTTCCACAGGCAATCTCCGGTGCACAAACCACACTGGCACGGGATACGCTATCTATCGACACACTGACCTAGCAAGATGTCACAGCCTCTGTCTAGTGCAGGGTCCGCGTGACAAGGTTAGACATTCTCTCACAAAACATGTACCTAAACGATCTAACTGGTCAAAAGTAACTGGACACTAGTTACTTATGGTGGCACAATACAAAACCTTGTACCAGTTAAATACACAGCACAAAAGACTATCCTATTCTAACAGAACACTGTAAATAATCTATGCAGTCACTTAAGAAATATCCTAACTCTAATATACTATCACTGTCTCGCTAACACGTCTGCTCCGTCTGAACGCTGTATACCGAATCCCCTGTGTTCTTTCACCTCGTGTCTTTTGACCCGTTCACCTGCTCAGTCCCCAAAGGTGTAATCGTGTTGCGAACTTGTCTGCAACAGAGTTCACTCTTTCTTGTCGTGGCCAAGTGGTTTCTACTGAGCGATAGTTTCCCCGTGCAAACAGCACAGACTTGGCCAGTCACGGCACTGACCTTTGTGTCAACCCTGGGGTGTCACCTGAACACGGTACACCCTACGGTGTGGTCCATTCCGCCACTGACTGTACTCACAGGGTTGTGACAGTTATTAAGTATCTTGGGGATAAATATATTGTGATCCAGTGCATGCTGGCTGGCAATGGCTATTGTCATGCCGTAAATGTGTAAAGTGATTTTAATGTTGTCAATCCATTTTTTCTATGGCCTTCTTCTTGTTCTTGTAGATAATCTTCTGATTAGTGATTAGAAAGGATTATTATCACAGCACTCCGGACAGATCCCTAGGTGCTCTGATCTTGTCCTCAAAAGCTCCACAAGTGTAAAACGACTGATGACGCCTGTTCTGTGTTGGTTATTGAAACATCTTGTCCTCGTAGTGAAATGATCATTTCTTGCAGCTCCAGGCTGCACCCCCATGTCCATCAGTTTAAACAGGGATACAGAGTCATGTCGGTAAGTGCAATGCATGGCACTGATAACATCACTTCTGTCAAGTACTGGATCAGCCATAGCAACCGCAGTGACAGCAAGATAGTTTGCACGCTCATTCCCTTGAACACCTGCATGACCTGGCACAAAGTGAAGGTTGAGGCAGTTATTCATGAAGTGCTTAGTGTTGAAATCCATTCTTGCCTGATAAATCCAGCTTGGGTTTTTTTAAGCATATCCATCTTCTGAGATGCATGGCATGTGATGGGATCTGATGTTGCTGCATTCCAAAAAGATGGCTAAACCACTTGATCTGCTGTTTCTAAATTAATCTGTTACAAGGCATTTATCCCACAGTCTATGTGGTAGAATCATTATTCACTCGTTCTTGGATTGTTAGACTGGCGACTTTTCTCAGGCAGCTCATCCTGCAGGTGGTGATTCAATATGTGACTGTATGTTTACATACGTACATGTGTGTATATATTTATGTAAGTATTTTCAGTTTTGTATTATAGATGTATTGGGTGCAAACTTCACCTGCTCCAGCATGCTGAGAGAAAAATACAGTCTAGAATACAATCTGGAAATTAAGTATTCTATGCCCTTTAACATCTGCTACAGTCAAAGTCTCTATCTCGCAACACCAAGATCAAAATGTAAAAAATATTGATAAGACCAGTAGTTTTATATTCTCTGAAACATCAAGCACAACTAAAAGAGATTAAGCCTTTTTACACATTTTCGAAAACAGAATTTTACAATGAATCTTTGGATCTATCAGAGATCAAACAACGGGGAAAGGAGAATGAGAAATTCTTAATCTGCTTAAATCACCATTGATCACTGGCATCATGAGAGCTAATAGACTGAAATGGCTGGGGCACATTGAGAGAATGTCGATTCATATATGGGCTTAGATATTTTCTTCTTCTTCTCCATATTCACTGGCTGTAACTTCAATAGAAAGTTCTTGTTGTTTGTCAGTATCTGGAACTTTTAGTCTTATTCCACAAGCTCAGCATCGTGTGCAGATCCATTTTACAGATTTGACCTACTTGTATGCAAATTGTTGGTTCCTCACCTCTCAGGCTGATGCACTTCCACTTTGAGGAAAGACTTAAGTCAGTTGACTGTGACGACATGCTTGTTGAAGAGGCACTGGGTCTATTTTCCCTCATAATGGGGCCCCGGAACTTACATGTGGAGGGCTTTAGATAATGTCCATGTTTGGCACTGGTAGCTCAATGTTGGTGTGAATATGCTGTTTATTTTAAATATTATATCAGAAAAGATTTAAAACAACTGACCCTTTCTCCTTCTAGAATGACCTTGACTTTGAAGAGCGGGTTTGGCGCTGATTTCCCATCTCCATTGATAGATTTTGACAACTCCTGCAGTGACCACTTCACATTGAGCCTTTAAAAAAAAAAAAGATTTTTAAAAGGCAATAGCTGATAAATATTAAATGTAAAACGTATTATAATTCAGCAGTGAATATTAAGTACCTGCTTCAGACAGGAGAAATACTTAGAGAACAAAGAAACAAACTTTATTTTAAAAGTGTCGCAAACTGGGCACAATAGTTCTTCTCAAACTTGGCCCTTTCAGATGTTCACACATCAAATGGTATACATCACTAACAAGAAAAACCACAAAAGCGTGGATGATGAATTCATGCATTCAACTATGCATGCATCTGTAATCTTCTTCTTCAGCGTTCTGAGAACTTGAGGTTCACTGCTGCAGATATCACCTGCCTCCATTCATTTCTCTGGTTGGCCTTCTCTTTCTGGTTGTTGACACCAAATGATTTTAGGTCTGTCTGGATATTATCTCTCTATCGTCTTCTTGGTAAGCCTCGTAGTCTTCCACCATTTATCTCCCTTAAGTATACAGTTTTTACCTCTGTCTTCTGACATCTCTCAATATGCCCCAGCTATTTCAGTCTATTAGCTCTCATGATACCAGTAATCAATTGTGATAAAAACAGATTAAGAATTTCTTACTCTCCTTTCCCCACTGTTTGATCCCCACAGAGCAGACGTCTTCATGCATACTAATGCAATTTGCATACAAAAAAATATTAGTGAAAAAGTTTTTTTTTAATTTTTTTAGTGTTATTCAGTTCTAGTGCTTTTCTCCGTATTATTTGGAAACATAGTGGTAACATTATGCAACCATTTAAATGTTGAATATTGAATGTTAAATTAAGAATCAACTTACAGCACTCAGGACAACCCATTAAGCGCTCTGTTCCCATCTTCAGCAGCAAGCAAAGAGTTAAAATTTTGATGCTACCATCTAATTGTATATCCATCTCGCCTTTTCCCTGAAAGTCGAGCATCAGCCAGATCCCCTTGTAACTCCTCACTGTGCCATTCTCCTCAGACCATAATGATCTATCTGTTCCTTGGTACTGTTTACTCGCTCCCAAAGGGCCCTCACAACATCCAGCTTGTCATACAACAATTCACCACCAAGTGGTGCATAACTGGCCAATCTGCTTGCTCATTTCCCAACATACCTGCATACCTGGAGAAAATATCCAAAGGATGCTAACTACCCAGGACCTTTGAAGTGATGCTTGCCACTCTGCATGGAGCATGCCTGTCTCCACCTTTCTCAACATGCTCTGTGAGTTTATATACTAATAATAAACTATAAACCCAAATATTTGTTTTAGCAATATTCTTATATTATTCCTTAACATTCCCTGCTCACTCTCTGTAGGCAGAACAGTCAAACAAGCTAACGGCACCTTCTCCATGACAACAAGCAGCATGATGATGAAGGTGATGGCAGTAATGCAAGTGTTTGTGTGGCTCGAAACATAAAACTACACCCGTGCATGTGTGCTCAGAGATTCAATGAGTATAATCTGGAGAGGTAAGGCAGGTTCAAGTTGAACTGAGTTGGCCGAGTCCAGAATTAACATCACAGCACTTGGGGTATTTCCATGCATGCTCCATCCTCATCTTCAGCAGCCAGCGCAGAGTTCCAAAACTGATGGTACAGGTCACAATCAGTTATATGTCCGTCATGCCTTTCCTCTGAATGTAGTGAGCCGGCCAGAACCTCTGGTTACACCCAGATGCCTCATTCTTCCCAAGCCATAATAATCTTTTATCTCTACTGATTCTGTTGCTTGTTCCCAAAATTCCTTGACCACATCTGCCTTGTCATGTATGAATTCACCATCCAGTGGTGCAGATCCAGCCAATCTGTCTGCCTGTTCATTACCCACTATGCCACGTGACCTTTCCAGTGAAGCCTGCCACTCTGCTCAAAGCATCCCTGTCTTAACCTTTATCCGCATGCTTTCAGAGTCTGCTACAAAGGTAAAGGTAGAAGTCGGGAGATGTGAACCAGCCTTATTGCACACGGTTATAAACCATAAGTGCTCTGCACCAGTACTGACAGCTGATAAGAATTGTCCGCCTGGGTCGCCGTTCGCACGTAACTCTGTAGCTACAGCGACGTTCGTTCCTCTATTTACCCCAGAGTCTCAACTCTGATACCCATTTCCTAGATGCTGGGTGAACCCAGGGAACTGCCTGGTTTCAAACACAGGCCGTGGGCTGCAGCGGGTCGCAGCTGGATTTGAAAGCGAGCCTCTTATCAACTGCGCTAATGCGCCCCCGGTCTGTTAGTCTGTTACAATTACCGCACGTGTGTGCATCTTGTTCTCTAGCCACCAGAGAGATGCAGTTATCGCCTCTACCTCCATTCCCTTGCTAGATTTTGTGGTGTCGTATGCCAGGCTATCTTGCACTAAAGATTTTTCACTGACTGTCACTACGAACCCCCAGGCACTTTGCTTTCCTCTCAACACCGAACCATCTGTATAGATAATCAGATCATCTGCATGTGATTTGTTTGGTGCGAAGGCAATGGCTTAAATCAACATAAAAGTCCACTGTGCGTGGAGTAACCTTTATTTTTGTTCCAGGACACGTGGGCGTCGGTGGAAATTAAAGAGCTGGATCTGCTGTCACAACCTATGAATCATGCTGACATAATTTATGCTCTGAGAAATGGGAAGGATGAAGGACTTTGAGACAGTGAATCCACATCGCTTGCCAAAACGATAGACTTGGGAGTTAAGATCGGTATAGCAAAAAATGAGGTGCACACCAGGCACATCAGAGAACTTGTTAATCAGATAGAACTAGTACTATTAGCTACCGGATGCATTCATACTAAGGGGAGGATCTGAGCACCTATGGACATGTTCAGAGTTCAATAATGTTAACTCAGCTAACTAATTAACTAAATTCTCTGGTCACTTGGATGTTTAACATGTATATGTCTGCACAGTTTCTGTATTAGTAAGTAAAGTAAAAAGTAAACGCCTTTAGGCGTAAAGGGCATATAGTGCTAGACCTATATTTTTATAGACAAGATGGGTGATGTGGTCAGCATCACGCTGGTCACCTTTACTTCCCGGGACTGCAGCTGGTACCCACTCAAGGCTGGTTGACCTGAGAGTCAAGGTCATTGTTGACAAAAGTCCGGCTCCACCAGGGAGCGAACCCATTACCTTTTGATCCGCATGTGAGCATCAAGCAGCAACGCTATGGCTACTCCCATCTGTATTAGTATATCTGTTATTACTCCAGAAATTTCCAAATTGAATTACCACCCCTTGGTCATTTGATGCTGAACACCCTGGTCCCAAAATAGCTCAGCAAAGAAACCGTTCATCTTCTCACTGCTGTCATGTATCCACAATAAAGACTAAATGACAGATACGGATTTAAATGCCAGGTACCCACCGGAAAGCTTCTTCCAACATTTTGTCCATCTTTTCTGTGTATCGGTACCAGTGCTGTTGAACATCTGGTCCATCATTTTTATACACTTCAAATGACAGGTTAAGAGTTGCCACAATGGACTCATGCATTTCTTTCAGCTTCTTTGAAGTGTGCTCTCTGTGTTTGGCCTAATGAATAATCAAAATAATCAATGAAATTATATTTTTTCTTTAAATAACTTGACTTCAAATTGGTTTGTATATTTATAATATTTTTCATGCTGTTTAGTAAATACTATCATGGTTTACATATCTATTGTGCTCATCATCAAGTGCCTTGTCAGCTGGCGTAGGTGTTCATGCATCTCCACATATCTCGGTCTTTGGTGTTCTGGATCAATTCCACTGATGATATTCCTCCTTGCCACTGTCTTAAGCCATCCACCATCATTTCTCTTGGTCTGCCTCTGCCTTTTCTACCAGGGATCTTTCCAGTCATCACGATATTTTCCAGCGCCTCTTTTCTCCTCACATGACAAAAGAACTTTGTTTAGCTCCTTCTCATTGTTGTACATAATGTTCATCTTTCTTATAGCCATTTCCAGGCAATCACTGTTAGTTATTCTGGCAGTCCAAGGCATTTGCAACATTCTTTTCAAAAACCACATCTCAGTTGGCTCCTAACTCTTCTTAATTTATCTACTGTACAACCCTATTTATTCAGCAGTCCTGCAGCTGCATCTTTTTCCTCAAATTCTTCTTTTCGGTACTTTTCATGAATCTGCCTACACCGTAAGAGTTCCTTCCCCTCCCATTCCTTCCACTGTGGGTTGCACAGCCTGTCCCTGTGAGTTAGGAGATGTGTTAAGAGATGGCTTCATTCAGCGTTCGCTCACAGTATATAATGTTTGTGGGAGGTTGTGTTGTCATGAGTCTCTTTGAGGTGCTGCAGGTGCTTGTATACAAGTAAGAAGTACAGCAGGCGGAAGCTCCCAAAGCACAATTGTTCATGAGTATTGAAAATGGGATGTTGGTATTTCTATGTTCCATGGTGATGGCTGCCCCCCAGAAAAAGAAGTCACTGATAAGGAACATAGAAATACAAAAACCACTGCTGTTTCAATTCTCATGAACTGTTGATCAAATAGCACAACATGGAAACAATCACACAAATGAGCGGTGACACTAGGAGAAAAGAGACAATGGTTAAACAATTGAAAATAATGAGTACAAGACACACCCACAACATAGAACAGGCCATGCGATGCTCCATGGCATGAATGGAAGGGGAAGGAACTCTCGCCAAGTGGGCAGTTTCATGATAAGTACCTTCTTTTTTGTTCCTTCTTAACTGGTCTTTAAAAATGAGCCTAGAATCATGTACTTGATGATGCCTCATAGTGTAAAAACAGTCCTTTATTAGAGTATGTCATCATCAGTGTCCTGATGTGCCATATGTCACATAGGGCTCGTAAACTATTCATCTGTCCTGGCCACCTCTGTGGATGATATTCAGTCCAAAACCTTTGGTTTTTCTTACAAATGTTTGTTTATGGGTTTCTTTAGACGTCCTCACTTCCTTAATCTCTTTAATCTCTTTGGTGATTCTCTACCCCTGTGTAGGTTCCAGGGCCATGTTATAGGGACAACAAGAATAGACCCACTGCCTACCCAAAAGAATATCGTAAGAGTCGACTAATTGTGAGCTTCCTTTGAAGTTGGAGTACATCTGCTTGAGAGGCAAAGAACCAACAGTCTGCATGAATAAGTATCAGATCTGTCAAACAGATACAAATGCAACACTCAGGTTCTGGAACAGAACTGCAGTCCAGAAGTGGACAAACAACCAGAACTTTCCACCAAAGTTTACAGCTGGGTGAACGCAAAGAAGAAGCAAAAGGAGAAGCAAACTAAATGAGATAGACTAACCTGATCCTCATCAAATTGAAGATTCTCGTACACCACTTTGTGATCTATCTTGACCAGCAGCAGTTCACTGATTTTAACACAGATGACGGAGATGTTATCATTAGCGATCTTGTAGGAGTCCACAATTTCCTTGAAATTAAAAAAATTATGTATTCAAATTATGGAGAGAAAAAAAATGCTACTTCTTATAGTCCATGCTATGCTGCATTGGTTATATGTGTGTCAACAATGTTCTGTTCTGTGAAATGCTAATTCTTCTTCTTCATCTTCTCTTCCACCTTGTACCTCATCGAAGTGTCGGGAGGGGGGGGGAGAGATGTAACGTTCGTTGATGAGCTCTGTCAAGAGCACTATTAGGACTGGTGTTCGTTTCTGTAAGGCTGTTTTCCTAATGCCATCCCTACATCTTTTCCAAGGTGATCCACTTGCTCTAAACACGTTGTAACGTTTTAGTGTGGCTCGCTGTAGCAGACAGTACCAGGGCATTCTCGTTAGGTGTCCAAACCACTTTATTTGTTTTCTTTGATGACCTGTAAGACTGGCTTTATTCCTAGCATTTATTCCTTCGTGATTTCATATTGTCTTTCCTTGAAACTCCTGCAGCTCTTCTAAGGCATTTTAGCTCTGTTGTCACAATTTTACGTTCACTGGGGGATGTAAGTGTCCACGATTGGCACTGATAGCATAGTGCTGGCTAAAAAATATTTCTGAAAATATTCACTTTAGTACTCCCAGGTATCTGCTTGTGTGTCAACAGGGGAGATAGTTGCCACATTGCTTGATTAGCTTTGGCACATCTCGAGCTAATTTCTCTGTCCAGTTTTCCAATGGATGTGAAAATCTCTCCCAAATACTGAAATTCCTTTGTTTGTCTTAAGGTGTTGTTTTTTTAATTTTCTTTCTGTATTCCTATTACCATTGTCTCTTGTCTTCTTAGTGTTTATTTTCATATTATATCCAACCCCCCACCTCCCTTTGTTACTAATTTGATTCAGGTGGTTCTGTAGGCAATCCATACTTTTTGCTATGAGTACCTAGTCGTCAGCAAATAGTAATTCTGTAATATCTTTTTCATAATTAAAGCTCATTTCATTGCATATGGTATCCTTGTATGTTATAAAAAGAAGCGGTGATAGTACACAGCCCCGACGCACACCAGAGTTCACTATAAAAGTTCAGGACAATCCTGCCTTCGATCTTATGCAGCATTCACTATGTGTGTACAGGCTTTTGCAAATATTATTGAGGAGATATGAATATCAACAAACCTGTCTTATCGTGTTGTATTGCTCTCTCTAATAGTTGTTTCAATGTATAAATGGCATCTGTGCAATAATTTCTGATAACTTCTCTTTGTTCTCCTGGCCACTGGTTTTCAGATTTGCGGGCCACATGCCTCTATGAAGGCACTGGTACGATGCATGTCATCTGCTGCGTGTAGAGACAATATGTCTATAGAGCATGTTTGGTATTCTGGGCTGCCTCTCTATACAAGCAAAGTTCTGAGTCTCCAATCTTGAATTTTTTTGCCCGTATGGCTGCAGAATCTGTCGTGTCAAGTTCACAATCATCATCATCATCATCATTTTTTGTGTGCCACTGAGTGTCTGTTGGTGCTTACCTCCTAGACCAGCTGTCAGCCATGGCTTAAGGTCTGGTCTACCCTGCCATAACATGAAGTTTTAGGTTGCATTTTTATTTCTTATGATACAGTTATTCAGTCAATATTTCATTGGCTTATCTCCTCATGATATTCCTCAGTATGTAGCAACCAATGATGACAGCTCTGTGTTAATTTACTATTAGTTTGTGCCCTTAACTCTTTACCTCTGCCTTTACTGGCTTCACCCTTTTTTTTTTTTTTTTTGGTCTTTATGTCCTTGCAGTTTGGCCAGTGTTGGTAATAATGTCACCATTTTATCAGATTACTTATTACCAATTTCAAAAGTGCCAAAGAGGATTTTGAAGCTTAGCCCATGAATCAATAAATGCCTTCTCTTATTATTTTGGTTAGAGCTTCATGTCATCAATAAATCATCATCATCATCAAGTGCCTTGCCAGCTGGCGTAGACTTTTATACATCTTGACATTCCAAGATTCACCACCACACAACAGAACAGACTTGATATAACAATTCAGGGTGCTTTATTAATATCCTACCCCAGATGATGTCACAGGACTGTACAACATTTTAGAGGGTAGTAAGACTGGGTTTCCCGGCTTTCTGCTGTTTTAAAAAACCCAAAAACATCTAGAACTGGCCATAACCCCAACCCAGCTATGTCCAACGAGAAAGTGCAGCTAGGTCCCACAACTGCATGCAGCGGAGGCCCCACGACTGCCTGCAGCCTATCTAACACCACCTGAAATATTACATTGTGGATTTTCCCTGTTGGGGGTAGGATATCAATAAAGCACCAAATTCAGTATTATGTTCTGATGTTTAATGAGAGTGATTTATTAGACAAGACCATCTAAAGCCAAACATCTGATACAACTGTCCTAACATCACTTACCTGATGAAGGCTGTTGTCCACCCGGAAAAGGTGTCTGTTTTGTGGTGTGAAAAAAACAACTTGGTGAAATACTGCTACATGATAGGGCAGACGTGGTTAGTGCCTTGTGGGAGAGCGTGTACAATGCGGAGGAGCAGATGGATCACCACAGTTTGGTGAGATTGATGCAGTTGGGGGTGACGAGAGGTTCTTGCAGAAGCTCAAGGCTCAGAGGAAATGCAAGACGGACTTTTAATCAGAAAGCTACTGGCACCATTAGTATCGGAACCCTTCGCTGGCTACTGAAGATGGAGACGGAGTGCTTATGGGAATGCACCGGGTGCTGTGATGTCGGTTCTTGAATCAAATCAAATCAAATCAAATCACATCACTTACCTGGACAGTGTTGCAGTGGTTTCGGCACTCAGTAATGAAAAATTCAATAGTGCCTTTGGCTGTCCAAAACAGTTTTGTCAATCCAGGATGGAGGCGTTTATCCAAAAATTTGATTCTCTCTTTGAACAGGCCTCGTTCTTCAATGGACAATGCTGCGATGATTCTGAAAAATAGGTAGGAAACATCTGGACAGAACTGCTTCAGAAGCAAGCAAATTTTACTTTTAATTCATTCTTCTTCTTCTTCTTGTTCTTTTCTTTCTTTCTTCTTCTTCTTCTTCTTCTTCTTCTTCTTCTTCTTCTTCTTCTTCTTCTTCTTCTTCTTCTTCTTCTTCTTCTTCTTTTTCTTCATCTTCTTCTTTTTCTTCATCTTCTTCTTTTTCTTCCTCTTTTTTTCTTCTTCTTCTTTTCTTCTTCTTCTTCTTCTTCTTCTTCTTCTTGTTTTTCATCTTCTTCTCCTTTTCTTCTTCTTCTTTTTTTCTTCTTCTTTTCCCTTTCTTCTTCTTCTTTTTTTTCTTCTTCTTCTTCTTCTTTTTCTTCTTTTCTTCTCTTCTACTTTTTCTTATTTTCTTCTTCTTCTTCTTCTTTTTTCTTCTTCTAGTTGTTCTTCTTTTTCTCCTACAAGAACTGGAGCTCTTCGCTGGATGCTGAAGATGAGGACAGAGCGTTTACGGAAATGTCCTCAGTGCTGTGATGTCAGTTTTTAGCACAACACTCAACATTCAAAATTGGCTGAGTGATGGATATGTGCTTATTTTAACAAGATTCAGCTGCATCATCCATCCATATCTTCCTTGGTCTTCCTCTCACTTTTGTCCTGTTCTCCTGTAGAAAGTTCTATATACAGTTTGGTCTGGCTGCATTCTAACTAGATGGCCCTAAAGAAACTGTTATTCTCTGTCCTTTAATGTAGTGCAGGCATGGTCTCATTCCAGGGTTCTCTATAATCCCAGGACTAGTGACCTTGTCCCTTCTTATGCTGTTAGAAAATAAAATATCAAAACAAAACAAACAAAAACCACAGCAGTTCTCTTCTTTCTTCTTTTGTCAAAATCTGCTTGTGCCGCTAGGCGTCGCAGTCTATCAGATGATCGGCAACCGAGCCAGGGCGCGCTCAGTGGCTTCATATGCCGTGGTGTTATGAAGTCTCAAGTTGTCCGTGACTCCTTTAATCCATCTTCTTCTTGGTCTTCCCCTGCCTCTTGGTGTTTCGATTTTCATGTTGTATGCTCTTGATGCTGGCATCGTTGGTTCCATTCTCATTAGGTGACCAAACCATTTCATTCTTTGCTTCTCAATAAATTTAACGATGGGTATGGATCCAATAGTTCTTGTAATCACATCGTTTCTCACTCGATCTCTTCTGGTTTTATTCGCAGCCATTCTCAAACATCTCATTTCACAGGTGGTTAGTCTTCTCTCGTGTTCTTTTGTTAATGTCCAAGTCTGACATTGATAACCTAATGTTGGTATAAAGATTGTATTTATAATTTGCCTTTTTATCTCAGCTGGGACAGCAGGGTGTTTTAAAATTGGGGCAAGCTGGTATGCGACATTGTTGGCTTGTTGGATTCTTGCTTCGATCTCTCTGTCTATTTTACATCAGTTCTCACTCATTATTAATCAGCAGGTATTGGTACAGGTACATAGGTTTAGAGGACACCGTGGACTTTGCAGCCACATGTACATAAAACTTGAGATTGGTGAATCAGTCATGTTTACATGTGGATTAGCACAACAGAGACAACTGATCACACCCTCAAGACTGTCCCAAATACAACATATCACGTCAAAACTTCTGGCCAAGAGAAACACTGATGCAAGCCAAACTTTACGGGTCCCTGATTGAACTACAACAGACAGTAAAGTTTGTACAAGAGACAACACTGCAGATATAGAGAACCTATTTCAAGTGAATGAAAGGAGAAAAAGCAAAATGGGCAGGTCTTTTATGAAACGTCACTAGCTTCATGATGCTATCAGTGCCAAACATGGACACTTACATCCTCCAATGAACGTAAAATTGTGACAACAGAGATGAAATCCCTTAGAAGAGCTGCAAGAGTTTCAAGGAAAGACAGAATACAAAATCACGAAATCAGATGAATGCTAAGAATAAAGCCAGTCTTACAAGTCATCAAAGAACAACAAATGAAATGGTTTGGTCACCTAACAAGAATGCTCTGGTACTGTCTGCCACAGCGAGCTACACTAAAATGTTGCAACAGGTATAGAGCAAGTGGAAGACCTTGGAAAATATGGAGTGATGGTATTAAGAACAGCCTTACAGAAATGAACAGTCCTAATAGTGCTCTTGACAGAGCAAGAATGTTACATCTTCCCCCGACACTTTGCTGAGGTACAACGTGGAAGAGAAGAAGAAGAAGAAGAAGAAGAAGAAGAAGAAGATTCACTTCATGATATGCCTGAAAGTCTCGTCCTTCAGCCAGTTCTCCAGCTCTGTGTGCTTCGATAGCCAAGGCCTCCTCATACCTTCACAGAGGTCAGCCTCTGGCTCATTAGTTGCATCCTTAATCCCCACATCCCCAGACTGGCTTCTTCTTCTTCTTAAAGTCCAAGCCATGTGGCGTTGGTAGTCATGTGTGTCCACAACCTTCTGTCTCGTGTACTTTCAGTCAACTCTGATATAGATGATCATCCATGCCATGATGTCAAACTGTCCAGCATCTGTTCTCTTGGTCTCCCTCTGCCTCTCCTCCCCTCCAACTTTCCTACTGCATGATTTACTCCAGTTTTCTCCTTCTCATCACATGAACAAAGAATGTAGTTTGTCTCTTTCTGGTGTGGGCAATCAGTTCGTGAGTCAGTTTCTTTCAAAACATTTTCATTACTCTTTTTATCTGTCCAGGTATTCTCATCATTCGTCTATAAAACTAGAAAAATTAAAAAGCAATAAATACAACAGTTCTGACAAGGAAAAGCACAACTTACCTGTTGTATTCTCTCACAACCAACAGCATATTTTCTCTGAGGATTCTTAGATCATCTTTCTTGGCATAGATCTCAACTGCAAAGTGAGGCACCTCAAAAAGTAGCCTTTCCCAGTAATACAATTCCTGAAACATCTTCACCAACTGTCTGTAGAGGAATTAGAGTAATATGTCAGTTTTGTACAACTTCATTTTCCTCTTGCTTTTTTTCTTCTTTAAATTTTGACATTACCCACAAAGTTTAAAATTTTTGTTTCCTCATAGCATGTCAAACAAATTAGAAAGGTTTTATAATCAATTTACGGTTTTTAGCCACATCTAAAAATCTTGTGGGAAGCTGCTTTGGTTTAATGGCTTGCCTGCGGATCTGAAGGTTGAACAGAGCCAGCTTCTTTGTTTTTTTTTTTTTCAAATGACTTCGGCTTTCAGGTCAACTTAGCCTAACTCTTTGAGTCCCAAGGAACATATCATACATTCATAGGTTCCTACCTAGAAGCCCAATGAACGCATGATGCGCCGATTTTATGACTCTCTTTACTAACTCCTGTGCTGGTGATGCTAAACCCCCTGGGACTCAAAGAGTTAAGTGGGCAAAAGACAAAAGTCCTAGGAAGTAAAAGTGGTCGGCAAGACGTTGACCACATCACCCAGGAAGTGCCAAGTAGTCAGTAACATGTAGGTCTTGCACTGTATGCCTAACATGCCTGCTTTACTAAACATCATGTTTGGGTTATGGGGCCAAGTTCTAGGAGTGAGGGGGGGGGGGGGGGAGGAGAAAAGACCTACTGTCCCCTAACAAGCATGTCTTCTCCTGTCTTTATAGCCCCCAACAGAGCATAGGCCCTTACCAACTCCTGCCAAGTTGATATATTGCATGCAGCTCTCCCCATGTCCTCCCCATCCCTCTCCAGCTTGCCTCTCCATGCCTTCCCTGGTCTTCCTCTATTTCAATGCCCCCTTCACCCTTTCCCATGGGTTCCAACACAACTTTCCCACTGTCATGATGTACTCCAGTTTCTCCTTCTCACCACATGAACAAAGAATGTAGATTGTCTCTTTCTGACGTAGGCAAACAAGTGTCTTCATGAGTCAGTTTCTTTCAAGATGTCTTCATTACTCTTTTTATATGTCCAGGATATTCTCATCGTTGGTCTATAAAACCATATCTCCCCTCTTTTTATGAAACATCCCTCAAGCTTTAAAGGAAACACCCATTCTTCTTCTGCCTTTTTATCCCCTAATGAAGCATAAGCCCTCAACCAACTCATGCCAAGCTGTTCTATCCTTCGCCATTACATGGAGCTCTCCACATGTCCTCACCATCTTTCTAACTTCATTCTCCAGCTCTCTTCTATGTGTGTTTTTTGGCCCTTTATTTCTATGCCTCTGTGGGTTCCAATGCAAAGATTCTAGTTATGCTGTTCTCCTGTTTTCTCACTGTGTGTCCTTTTCAACGCCAGTGTCTTTTCCTCACTCTTGGTCCAATAGAGCCAGTTTAGTTCTCGAATGTGGGATGGGTGGGGTGGGGGGATGTGGGTGGGGGGGATGTGGGTGGGGGGATGTGGGTGGGGGGGGGGGGGGCTAAGGGTTTATTCCCCCAAAATGGAGTCCAGAATCCCACAAAGGGAATTTTTCAAGACAAGAACCTTACCTATTAAAGTTCAAGTCTAACATCGGTGGCCGCTCATGACTGCGACACATAAGAGGTATTTCCAGCAGTTTGTTTGGTTCCTGTACAATGTATAAATAATCATCATTAATAACTGATGTGATTTCATGACGTTTAGTTTTCCAGTTATTTATCTTAAAAAAAGCCACTCTTCTTATTAGAAAAATGGTACACAATGACCAGCTTCAGATGCATTAGAAGTGTTTCAGCCCTATTTAAAAGGGCTGCAAAAGTCAACTGTGCATAGAGTTACCTCCACCTTGGGCTCAGAGCAGACGATAGTAGTTGGTAATGAAAGAGCAGATAAACTGGTTGGTTCTTCCACAGTTGCAGATGACTGACTTATGGATCGTATTAAAATTATTAATACAGGCTTTTTAACTCCTTAGAAATAATAGAAAGAGATAAGAGAACTGTGAGGGCAATTTGTTCACATCACTACCTAAATTTGACACTTGGTACTAAATATCCGCACAACCAGACACAAAGGCACACAAGAAGTGTGAGAAAATCTTTGCCAGTCAGCATAGAACTGGTACCATTTGTCAGGGGATGAAGATGTATTTGTTGAGGGAAACTCTGAGAACCTATGGTGGTTTCCTGATTGCCATGAGGAATACCCAAAATATGGCAGAAAACAAAAGTCATAGCTTGAGTTGTTTCTCTCCTCTCCATACTTCTTGTTACTTGTTACCTGTTGGCCTTATCAATATGCTAGCACATCGGTCTGGCCCATTCTTGCTCCATCTTCCGATACATCAGAACGTAACCAGTAGGCATTGACTGGCATATCTTTTTCCTTGACACCGCAAACATGCTTTTCTTCACTTAATACACATTTCCAGTATGGCAGATCATTATTTCTGACTCCTTTCTCTCAGAGTTTCTTGAAGACAGCACATTCAGTAGTCCTGCCCTGTCCATACTTCTTCCTCCACCAAACACTGCAGTCATCACCAGTCTGTTGGCTCTTTCATTTCCTTTCCTCCCCAACGTATCAGGGTGTCTACAGCTAGACAGTTTCTTGAGGCAGGATTTCTTGATGCTTTCAACCCGTTCTAGTTTGCCATAATGGATCTTTTTAAGCATGCTCATTGATTCTGTCACTATCAATGCATCGGCCACTTTCTGTTCTGCCAACCAGGCCAACGCCACTGTGACAGCTGCTATCTCCACATCATGCTAGAAGTAGTTGAACTGAAAACTGTCTTTTTTTTAACTCTCTTCCCATTTACCTGCGCTGTGTATGCCCACTCAGTTGCCAAGTTGACTGATGGCTGCAATTAATTTTCTGTTTAGATACTGGTCAACGTCAAATCTTTGGTTAACAGAATATATATCGGTTATAGCTCTGGTCAACAGAGTTTGTTAAAAGATCATAATTCTTCTTAACACAATTTGTCTAACAGTGATAATACTAATTAACATAAATTATCAGATTGTCATCATTCTGATTAATATAATTCATAGGTGGTCATAATTCAGGTTAACAGAATTTGTCAGATGCCTATAATTCTAATTAATACAATTTGTCTAACAGAGATAATACTAATTAACATAAATTATCAGACTGTCATTATTTTGAATAATATAATTCACGGGTGGTCATAATTCAGGTTAACAGAATGTGTCAGATGCTTATAATTCTAATTAATACAATGTTTCCAACAGTGATAATACTAATTAAAATCAACTGTCAGATCTTCATAATTTTGGTTGACTCAGTTTTTCAAATGGTCACAAAGTGGGTAAATAGATTTTGTCAGATGGCCATAATTCTGATCAACAAAACATTCTTTGTGTCTGATATCAAGCATGCTCATTTAGAAATGTGGGTTGAAAGCCAAAAATATAGCATATTTGCGAGATTCCTGAGTTACTGTTTGTTTGAAAAGAATATGGCCGCCAAGCACTATTCTACGTGCATGATATTGTCATTTACGGCTTTAGTAGCCTACAGTTTTAAAAAAGTATGTTTTCTTTTTAGATTTATCCAAAGTTAGATAGATAACGTTGCGAATTAGGAGTGTTTCAGTCATTTATAGAGTCAAACTTTGATGAGGGATATGTCTAATGTGTACCTCGCGCGAAGGGTACAACGATAGCACAATTAGTTGGCACAAAAAGAAAAAACATTAGTGAAAAGACAATTTTCTTCAGTGTCAGTTAGTTCTAGTGCTATTACCCTTAGAAACATAGCTACAAAATTACTGGCAAATTGAGTGTTAGATAAACTTTGTTTTGCGTGAAGATACTTATTGTTTTGGGAGTCAGTTTTCTTTACTAAATATTAGTGCTCTGTTATTATGCTTCAAAATATTCTCTGGAACAAAAGATAATGTATAGATTGAGTTTATATTTTACTTATACATTACTAAGTGGTTCATATTCATTTGTGATTCATTTTGGATTTATTTTAACCAGTTTTTCTTAAGTGCCATGGCGGTAAGTGAAATTTTTTGTGTTTTATTTTACTTATTTTCTGTTTATTTACTAATATTTAATTACTAACGCAATTGTTGTAGCTCTATGCTAAAATTATTCTTCAACAATCCCTTGTCACTTTGATATACAATATGTGTATGTTGCGCAGCAACTGAATTAGTAAGGTATGTTTTAATGTCTTACACTTGTGAAATTAAAAAATTGCATTACCACCCCTTGGACCTCTGATGCTAAACTCCCTGGGACTCAAAGAGTTAGGACACAAATTTTCTGAGACAACATAAGCACTGGAAACATATATTTTAGCACCTCACTGACAGAAGAAATATACTGTGTTTTAGAACTTTATGTGTATCTTGTTTGTTTGGGTCTATCAAAGTTACACATAAAAAGTTTAGAGTTTACTACCATCAACTCGATCTCTATTTCCTCCTTTTCCACTTTAATCATTTTATTTTTCTGATTGTTTATATATAGATTGTTTACATAACAAAATTCATAATCTGTTTAAATCACCGATGATAACTGGCATCGTGGGAGCTAATAGACTGAAATGGTTGGGGCAAATTGCAAAAATGTCAGATGACAGAGAAGTGAAAACTATATACATAAGGGAGATAGATGAATGGTCGTAGACCATGAGGCAGACCGAAAAGACAATGGAGAGATAATGTCCAGACAGACCTGCAAACACTTGGTGTCACCAACTGGAAAGAGAAGGCGAACCAGAGAGATGAGTGGAGGCGGGTGATATCTGCAGCAGCAATGAACCACAAGGGCTCGGAATGCTGAAGAAGAAGAATTAACAAGCAAAAATATCTTACACTGAAAAAGAAAAAGAAATATATTTTCCAATCATAACTCAAATAGGTTATACAGGATGTTGTTTACTTGTAAATGGCTACTACCGGAAGAAAAAATGCCAAGTGAGCAAACTCGCAGAACTTATCTAAGTTCATTATCTAAATTTGAAAGAAAAGTCACACAAACATGCAGAAGACACACATTTAAGTGTTAGCTTCACAACAACACTAAACACAAGTTATAAGGTGATAACAATAAGCCGTTAGTTTTGTGTACAAAAATCAGCACGCATTTCGTAAAAAAACAAATTACTTACATATTCCTGTAGAAATCAAGAAATATATCAATATTACAGAATTCTCATGTTAAAAAGAAAATTATACTTGATTATCAATTATCTATTGTGGGGAAAGCAAGAATAGACCCACTGCCTCTCCAACAAGCATGCAGTAAGAGTTGACTAATTGGGGGCTTTTGGAGTGCATCTGCTTGAGAGACAAGGAACCAACAGTCTGCACAAAGGTAAGTCAGATCTGTAAAAAAAGAATATGCATGCGACACTCAGGTTCTGAAACAAGTCTAAAGTCCAGAGGTAGTTGAACAACCAGAACTTTCCGTCAGAGTTTCAGTTTACATGAAGAAAAAAAATTCTGGTACCAGATTGGCACCTCTAGATGCTGTCTTATGTGTTTAATACATGTGCCTGCTTCTGGATTTTGCCAGACTAATTGCTTATTCACAAGTTTTAACTGGGTCAGTGAAAGGTATCTTGAGCAATTTTCACTGTAACAAGAATAGAACCATTTATGGGATGAAGTGTTTGTGGTGAAGTTGAAATCTCAACTACCGACTACCAACAATTCATGGTTTTTTTGGTGGTTTTTTTTTTGGTATTTTTTGTTGATGTTAGCTTGACTGTAATCAATCCGATTTTCAAAACTATCTTTAACATAAAATATTATGTTTCTTCAAAAATTATATTACACTGTCACAGTTTTACTGAAATTTGACTCATTTTATTTTATACACATTTGGTCTCACAACTAAATAAATCTGGCTATATATAACGTATAGTAGATGGTGTCTATATAAAAGTAACACTACTTTTTCCCTCACTTATATTATTTTCCTCCTTTGGAATTTGCTTTAAAATCTTCTTCAGCATTCTGAGGCCCTTGAGCTTCATTGCTGCAGATATCACCCACCTCCATCCATTCTGTGATGGTACTTCTCTTGCAAATTGGTGACGCCAAGTGTCTGTAGGTCTGCCTGTATATTATCTCTCCATTATCTTCTTGGTCTGCCTCATGATCTACTCCTACTGCCAATAACTGCCCTTATTACCACTTTTGCGGAGTAGGCAGGGGGGTCTTTGAGCCTCAGGATTTATGGCTGCATGGCTAGTGCTGTCACCATGGCTGTGCATGTGAGGATTTTATTTTGCCCCCAACAGAAAAAATTCCCAGCCTCAAAGAGGATTTGAATCCGGGTCTCCCGCTTTAGAGTTCAGCACTCTAACCATTCAGCCAGCCACTCCTCTCTACTCCTACTGAACTCTTTTAAGTTTATTTTTGTGTGTGTGCTTTTTTTGTGCTTCAAAATCTTCTCACCCTAAAAATTTTAAACTAAAAAAAGACAAAACTATGTACCTTTTCAGCCTTGTGAGTCCACTCATAATAGGTCTTTCGGATGTACTCATCAAGGGCAGCAATCAGTGACTTGTACTGCAGCCTCACCTCTTCACCAGTTCCTATTTGTGGCAGGAAATGAGCTTGATCCAAAGCCTGGCATTTAAGCAAAGAATGTTTTACCATTTTTTTAAACCTTGCATTTACCAGGATTTGCAAAGAAAGCAAATCAATATCACTTGGAACGGACACAGAAAAGTCACAATACTGATCTGATGAATGATAACTTGTCCTTTTTAGGATGAAATTTTTTGTTATTTGAAGCCCTACTCTGGATATTGCAAGGAGCTGCAATACAGCCTGGCCATAAATATGGCCTAATGGCTGAACGCGGTTTCTAGGACCTCTCCACGGTGATCCTCACCCGCATGGTGGCACACTGTGTCTTTGGGTGTTTATTGCTTGTGTGATGTCCTCGTGGGGTAGAAAGTCAGTCAGTCAATCGATAGCACATACATAACATAACCCATTAGGGTTGTGGAAATGAAATAATGGAAGTACTAACACACAAAAACAGCCATCTTTCTCTGTCTTCTGCTTTCTGAACAAATTTGTAGTAATTTGGTTCAGTCCATTTCTTGCTGTTGTCATTCTAGATTTTGCTTTACCACCCTATTTTAAACTACTCCCTATCATGTCTCACTACACGTCCGAACTAAACTAGCTTGCTCTCACCACTGCCAGAATAGGCTCCTGATGTCCTGCAAATATGTTTTTTTTTTGTCTGACATATATGTTAGCTTTATGTTCTAAATAGCTAAGTTGTCAAAATTCCTCTACAGCTCACTTCCCGTCCTTTTTAGGATGCACTTTTTCATTATTTGAAGTCCCACTCTGGCTTTGCCAGGGGCTGTAATATAGCCTGGCCATAAATATGGCCTAAAAGGCTGAACGCAGTTTCTGCGACCTCTCCACTGTGATCCTCATCCACATGGTGGCACATTGTGTCATCGGGTGTTTATCACTTGTGTGATGTCCTGGTGGGGTAGAAAGTCAGTTAGTCAGTCATCTTCAGCATTTATGTTCAAAACCCTGAATTCTCCTTTTCATTTCTGCAGCCAGAGTCCAACTCTCAAATCCGTATCAGAAGATAGACATTACCAGTGACTTGACTTGACCTTTACTGCTATACCAAGCCTTATCCTGATCTATTTGGTACAACTGCCATTGTTACATAATGTGAAAGCTGAAGTATTTAAAGGTCCCCCCCCCCCCCCCCTCTTTAGTCTGTGTATAAGCATGTACTTGAGTGTCATGGCTATTTACCGGAATCTTGCTTTTCTCAGTATTAACCCTTTGAGTCCCAGGGGGTTTAGCATCACAGGCCCACGGGGTAGTAAAGAAAGTAATAAAATCAGCGCATCATGCGTTTATTGGGCTTCTAGGTAGGACCCTATGAATGTATGATGCATTCCTTGGGACTCAAAGAGTTAATTTCCTCGGCATACTGACCACAGACTGTCTCTAGTTTTGTAGCAAATTCTTAGAGTTCTGTTTCTGAACCACAGGCATGAGATCGTAATCTCTAAATGAGGCAGAATAGGATATCCGAGATTTGCCCTCTTGGTCTGCCATCCAAACTGATAAGGGGGGCTACGTTGTCTCAAGGCAATGGCATCCACCTCGAGTCCTGGAGGTCCTGTGTTCAGGCTTTGGTGAGGGCTGGAATTTATTCTTGTGGACTTCTAGTAATTTCCTTTGGTCTTTGCGTAGTGAGATCGGATACCCGTGTGTATTGTTGCGCACATAAAAAATACCTTGGCAGTTGGAAAGAGAAAAGAGTAAAGGGGAACTGGATGAAGTAAGAAAACCAAAGACTGTTTCAATCACAATGTCCTTCCCCATGTGGGTTTCAGGGACCCATTGTGAGGAAAACAAGAATATACCCAGCAAACATGTAATAAGAGTCAGCTAACTGGGCGCTTGTGGTGTAGCGGCTAGAAGCTCACCTACGCATTGGAAGGTCATGGGTTTGGGTCCTGAAAGAGACAGACCTTTTTTCATTTATGACCTTGGCTCCCAGGTTGACCCAGCTTTGAGTGGGTACAAGGTGCAATCCTGGGAAGTTAAGTCGACCAGAGTGAATTTGGAGTGCATCTGCCTGAAAGGCAAGGAACCAAAAATCTGCTTACAAATAGGATAAATTTGAATAATAGATATGGGGGCAAAACTCAAGTTCTGAATCAAGACCAAAGTCAATGAGTGGACAAACAACCAGAATTTTCTACTGGAGTTTTTACAGCTAGTCTTCTTGTTCTTCACATTCACTGGCTGAAAACTCTGGCAGAAAGTTTCAGAACCTGAGTGTTGCGTGCATATCCATTTTGCAGATCTGACTCATTTGACTTCTTACCTGTTGACTTCTTACTTCTCAAGCAGATGCAACCCAACTTCAAAGGAAGTTTCCAGTTAGTCAACTCTTACGACTTGCTTTTGGGGAGGCAGTTGGTCTTTTCTCGTTTTCCCACAATGGGGCCACGAATGAGCATGGAATTTACAGCTAGTGATTGCTGAGAAGAACAAGAAGAGGACGAAGAAGAAGAAGGAAAAGAAGAAGCAAAGCCCACAGAAAACTGGTGAGTTTAATACAGAAGTTGTGTGACTTACATTCATGCTTCTGGTGACCCTGTTCTTGAGTAGCCTGGCCCAGTGTGCCGATCCAGAAAACTTAGTGTGGGAGGGAGTCAGGGCATACTTCTTGCTTGACAGCTCCTTCTTGACTGCGTTCAGCTCTTCATTGAACAAGTTAAATGTTTCTACAGTCTTCTTATCAATAGTACGACGGATTGCCTGTATGGGAGTGGGTGTGAGATTATAAAGGGAAAAAAAGATAAATGTTTCCACCATCTTCTTATCAATAGTTTGACAGATTACCTGTATGGAAGTGAGATGAAATTATGGGAGGAAAAACATGATAATGTTTCCACTGTCTTCTTATCAATAGTTTGACAGATTACCTGTATGGTAGTGAGACGAAATTATGGGAGGGAAAACATGATAATGTTTCCACTGTCTTCTTGTCAATAGTTTGACAGATTACCTGTATGGTAGTGAGACAAAATTATGGGAGGTAAAACATGATAATGTTTCTACTGTCTTCTTATCAATAGTTTGACAGATTACCTGTATGGAAGTTGGATGAAATTATGGGAGGGAAAACAAGATAAATGTTTCCACTGTCTTCTTATCAATAGTTTCACAGATTACCTCTATGGGAGTGGGATGAAATTATGAGAGGGAAAACAAATGTTTCCACTAACTTCTTATCAATAGTTTCACAGATTACCTCTATGGGAGTGGGATGAAATTATGGGAGGGAAAACAAGATAAATGTTTCCACTGTCTTCTTATCAATAGTTTCACAGATTATGTGTATGGAAGTAATTGTGAGACTATGGGGGAAAAAACAAAGTAAATGACCTTTTAAAGGTCATTAGTGCGCCATTGTAGTCTGGTAGTCTTAGTTTCAGCTTCATAGCAACGGGTCGCCCCATCTTTGCTCCGCTCCTGTGCCAACGAAAAACACCCAGAATGTTTATCACAGTCCCTTGTGGAAAGATTGACAGACTGCTGTCTCAGCATATCTAGCATACACTCGCATTGAAGCATACAGTAGCTATCCGAAGTGCTAACACAAACAGTCCAACATTAGAAATGCAGTTCATCATTGATGATAGCAGAACTTGTCACCAACAGTTCAGCAGTTGTCCACGCTATCAATTTTAACCAGATACGGGCACCGCCAACATTGCACTACAGGCATCACACCATTTTCTGAATCTACAATTCACACCACCACGTTGGTCACAGTCGAAAATACATTCCAAATGCAATCCGCAGCTCACAGGGTCACGCCATGCATTCAACTCAGAAGCTGGGCGACGAAACTATATCCAGTCTACAAATGGAGCAAAAATACTTCGGCCACCGTCCGGCAGAAGCAAAAAATTTGCCTCTGCTTCGAACAGCGCCGCTGTCTAGCGTCCATTTTAACCGGATAAATTTTAACCTCTTGTAATTAATATCATCAACTGCCTTACCAACTGGTGTGGGCGATCATGCCTCTCTGCAACCTGTGATCTTCAACAGTATGTATTAGTTCATGTTCTGACTCCCATCCATGTTATTACAAAAGGCTTTGAAGTATCTTCATCTATCGCTCTTCCCACAGATTTGTCCAGTGTTCACAAATGTGATGTTAAAGATAAATCTAAGACGAGTCCAGCAGATGGTAGAAGATTTAACTGTCTGCACAGTGATGCTCAAGAAGAATTTAGGAGGCATGTGTGCATCTGAACAAACTTCACCAAGCAAGATAAGTACAAAAAGACTAGAACTGAAATTAGCCATATAGTTTCGAAAGAGCATCAGATAGATGGTCTGGCCATCTGACTAGAATGCCCTGATACCAAATGCCACAGAGGGCCACACTGAAGAAATAAAATGGACAAAGAGCAAAAGGAAGATGCAAAACGTGGACCGGCAGCGACAAGAACAAGGTCAATTTAGAAGCAACAAAATCTGCTGTAAAGTGGATCTGAAACCAAGAACTTCTGAAACACAGAAGGTTACAACCAAACATAACATCTGACACTGACGGATGTATACAGTGAGAGCAGGAGATATGGAGTAGCACTAAGATAAGCCAGGATTCCCTGAGAGACTAATTATGGTAACAGACCTCACTTGGAGGTAGTCAAGTCCAGCCAGTCGAAGCACTAGAAATATGCCAGAGAATTTAGGAAGATAAAAATGAGCAGGTGATGAATGACAAGTGAGGACAGATCACCAACACTTCCAGTGGAAATGAGGTAACAAAGAAGGCTGGTCGGACAATGCCCTACAACGTACAGACCAGAGGGGCATATTAATCTTTCAACTGACTGAGAATCTAAGGATGAGGATGAACAGGTGGACGGGTGTCAGGAATGTGAGAAATCTCCCAGGCTTGAGCAGGAAAAGATAACAAAATAATCGAGAAGATGGAGAGAAACAGATCACGAAGGGCAGTTAGGCCAGAGGCTGAAGCCCGCAAGTCAAGAGAACTGTGGCTTTGGGAACATAACAGTTTACTGTACGGCCCAGAGTTAAACTTTGTTAGAAGAAAGATATTTCTACATTAGAAAAGACTTTATAAACAGTCGACAACAGTTATACTACATGTTAGAAGTACTTGTGAAGCAATGAACGTCATAGCAACTTATACTTATGTCTGTCATCATTGTATAAATGAACTAATTGTCGTTTATGGATTGACATTGTGTTTGTATAATAAACAATTTTAATTCTGTATTACTCGTTCGATCACTGGCCGTGTTGTTAAAAACAAAACAAAAACAAACTCTCGCTGATCACTTGTTCCGTTAGGCACGCTTACGATTGAGGGGGGGGGGGGGGGGGGGGGGGGGGGGGGTGGGGGGGGGTGAGGTAAAGGCACGAAGACAACTTACAACAAACATCAGAAAGAGACAGTCATCACTGTTTGGTCTAATGATGAGAAGAAGGAAACTGGAACATGTTGTGACCAACTGGTTGGAAAGATCTAGGAAAAATTAACAGGGGAAGACAATGCAAGAAGATTCTTATGAGCCTTTTGTCTTGACATGGAAAGGTATCAGCACTCAAACTGATGCAAGCTGTTGAAGATTGCAGATTGTGAAGAGGCATGATCACCAATGCCAGCGGGCATCTGATGATGGTATTTACCTCTCTGGATGACAGATGCATGAAAACATCTAGGACCTCTACGGCTCCGACCACAGTCCTGACCGAGTCAAATGCTGCACATATCGTGTTCTGCATCATCACTTCGAGATCCTTCATGCCTGCTCGGAACCTGTGAATTAGGACAGACTTTCATTAGGCTAGAACCTGTATATTGAGAGGATATCTTCTTCTTTTTCTTCAGCATTCTGAGCCCTTGAGGTTCATCGCTGCAGATATCACCCGCCTCCATTTATCTCTCTGGTTGGCCTTCTATTTCCAGCTAGTGACACCCAAGTGTTTGCAGGTCTGTCTGGACGTTATCTCTCCATCGTCTTCTTGGTCTGCCTCATGGTCTATGACCATTCATCTCCCTCGTGTATACAGTTTTCACTTCTCTGTCATCTGACATTCTCTCAGTATGCCCCAACCACTTCAGTCTATTAGCTCTCATGATGCCAGTTATCAATGGTGATTTAAATAGATGTTGTTGTTGCTTCTAACTCTCCATTCCCCCCTGTTTGCATCTCTGATGGGTCAAAGATTAGTTTTCGAAAACATCTGTAATAAGGCTTCATCTCTTTTAGTTGTGCTCCATGTTTCAGAGCCATAAAAAATGACTATAGTCTTATCAATGTTTGATATTCCTTAAATTCTTCTTCTTCTTCACTTTCTCTTGTATGGCTCTGGGTGTCGAGGGAGATTTAAGACATGTTTTTATTGATAAAATTGACTGTTTTGGGGAGGTTTTTTTTTAGTTCATACAACTTTATGCCTTGGTGTATAATGATTGCCTCACCATGTCGATCAGCTAAGTATCCATGCTGCCTAACTTCACTGATTGTGTAGAGGCATGATCCCTCATGCCAGTCAGCTAAGCACTTTATGATGATGATAAAAGTAAAGGACCCTTTTCCACACCTTTCAAGCATACTGGGTATATAGGGCTAGACCTATATTTTATAGACCAACAGCACAAGATGGGTGATGTGGTCAGCATCACGCCGGCCACCTTTACTTCCCAGAACTGCACTGGTACCCACTCAAGGCTGGGTTGACCTGGGAGCCAAGGTCATTTTTGAAAAAGTCCAGCTCTGCCAGGCAGCAAACCCACCACCTTCTGATCCACAGGCGAGCGTCTAGCTGCTCTGCCACGGTGACTCCCTTTATGATGATGATGATGGACACAAACAAAACATTGTACAATTAACTGCCTGGCATAGTTTGCTGTAGCCAGTCAAGCTTCTACAGAGGTACATCAGCATATTTGGGGCAGAAACAAAAAGAATCCTCTCAATGAAATGCATAAATCAACACTCTACATCACATTAACTCTTTGAGTCCCAAGGAACCCATCATACATTCATAGGTTCCTACCTGGAAGCCCAATGAACGCAAGATGTGTCGATTTTATGTCTCTTTTGACTAACCCTGGGCCTCTGACGCTTTAACCCCCCAGGGATTCAAAGAGTTAATGGATTTACAAGATAACCACAAGATTACTTCAGAATTTTCATCCAAGTGCATGGGTCATTACAACGGGTATATAGCGAGTGGAAGTCCTCGGAAAATATGGAGTGATGGCATAAAGAACAGCCTTACAGAAATGAACATCAGTCTTAATAGTGCTCTTGACAGAGCTCATCAACGAACATTACATCTCCCCCCCCGAAACTTCAATGAGATACAAGGTGGAAGAGAAGAAGAAGAAGAAGAAGAAGAAGAAGAAGAAGAAGAAGAAGAAGAAGAAGAAGAAGAAGAAGAAGAAGAAGAAGAAGAAGAAGAAGAAGAAGAAGAAGAAGAAGAAGAAGAAGAAGAAGAAGAAGAAGAAGAAGAAGAAGAAGAAGAAGAAGAAGAAGAAGAAGAAGAAGAAGAAGAAGAAGAAGAAGAAGAAGAAGAAGAAGAAGAAGAAGAAGAAGAAGAAGAAGAAGAAGAAGAAGAAGAAGCATTGGATCAAATTAAAAATCTTTGTTGACCACATGGTCTTCTTGAACTTCCACTAATGAGACTTACAGTATAACTAGAGAAGACAGTGTGATCTGTGTATTCCAGTGGAAAGCATTCATTTATTTTGTAGTACTTTATTATATGTTGATGTAACTGTGTACAACAGATAAAATGGATTGGTCATCTGTGGAGACTACCACGAGACTGTGCCCCACAGTTAGCCATGTCCTTTAAATACATGGAAGTTGAGCTAGAGGTTTTTCTGCTTCTTCTTCACGTTCACCAGCCATAAACCCTGGCAGAAAGTTCTAGTTGTTTATCCAATTCTAGACTCTAGTCCTATTCCAGAACCTGCATGCTGGGTGTGCATCCATTTAACAGATCTGACTCATTTTATGCAGACTGTTGGTTCCTTATGTATCAGGCAGATGCACTCTGACTTCAAAAGAAACACCCAGTTAGTCAACTCTTACGACATGCTTTTGGGTAGGCAGCATGTTTATTCTTGTTTTCCCTAGAATAGGGCCAAGGAACTATCATGGGGAGCTCTAGAGGTTGACCACACAAGTAATGGACAGAATGAATATACAAGACCATAAATACCAGCATCTATGTAGCATATATACTACTACATTATAAAGATGTGTGCAAATGGGACATGAATGATACAGGTATTGAGGCGGACTCATGGGAACAAAATGCCATGGACCGTGTTGTGTGGAAAGGGCATATCAGGAAGGGAATGAGACTGAAGGAAGAAATGATTGCAGGAAGGATGAAAGCTGAGCGTCTGAAAAAAAAAACGGATTAAACACAAATGTTGACAACAATGGTCCTGAAATCCCATGCTATCATTGTGGAAGACTTTTCTTGACACGGGCAGGTCCTGCTAGTCACACTCGCCATCGTCATGGGCTGTGAGTCTCATGCCTCCTCATAGCGCAATATAACATTATCATCTGGAAAGACGGAAAAGTGCCAATGAAATGAGGCTTATACAAAGGCTCAAATCAGATGTCTCTTAAAAACCTGTCTCTGAAAGGCAGAACAGGACTAGAGGAGGAGGAGGAGAAGAAGAAGCAGAAGACGACGACGAAGAAGAAAACATAATTCTGTAGCACTGCAAGATGATCATAATGTTTCCTTATCCGTTTTTTTTTTTCAAGCTACTTACCTATTATAGCTATCATGCCATGATGCAGCTTTCACATCCAGAATGTTCTTCTTCTGCGACTGAAGGAAGAAAAGGTACTTCTCAAACTGGGACTCAATCTCCATAAGGCTCTGTATGATCTCGTTGCCCTTTTGGCCAGCAAACTGTGGCATTTCCAGTTTGTTGCCATCCATTTGCCGAGCAAAATGAAACTGTGCTTCGCATACCTGGCACAGATGAAACAGAGAGCCCAGTTAAACTTGAGTTCCACTCAATTCCAAAACTAATCTCTATACAAATTAATTACACCCATATATACATTGCCTGCAAATGCATACCAGCATGCATTCGTGCTCTCATACATGCACAAACAACATACATATATATCTCATCTTCAGCATTCCAAGTCCTTGAGGAATATTGCTGCAGATTTCACCTGCCTCCATCCATCTCTGTGACTGGCCTACTCTTTTTAGTTGGTGAGTGTCTGTAGGTCTGCCTGTAAATTATTTCTCTACCAAATTCATGGTTAACCTCATGATCTGCTCCTATTCATCTCTTTTGTGTACAGCTTTTAAACATTGATAACAATGAATCTCTGACACTAACTCAACTGTGTGACATAGGAGTAAATCCTGGTGAAGCATGTTTTTGCCAAATTTTACGCCAAGATAGGAGACATAACTATGATAACCGACCCCTTATAGCAGTTATTCCCAAATTGTGTGCCGCGGCAAAGGGGCCCCACGAAATATTGCAAAAGCTTTATAATTAATTTAACCAAGACACGAATTGTCATACTTTTATTTAGGTTAGGGCACTGTGGGAAAATTTTAATTTAAAAAAAGGTGCCACAACCAAGAACAGTTTGGGAAACCCAGCCTTATAGGAACAATTAGGCATCTTGGAGTGACTGTTGCATCGGAGGATGAGCACGCATGGGAATGCCCAATCTGGAGGGATGATGATTAGGATAACATAACATTACTTACTTACTGTGCTTTACTAGGAAATACATTGAGAAGAAAAAAACTCCCCAAAAAAGTGCAAACATAATTTGGGACATCCAATAAATTATAGTTAGTAAATACTGTCCACAAACAGCGTCTTACCTCAAGCATGTCCTTGCAGCGCTGAATAAAGGCATCAACCTGAGCAAAAATGCTGCTTTTGTCCAGAAGCCAGCCATGATTGGAGTACTTGTGGTGGAGCTTGGAAATCTGGATTGCAAGTTAGCATAGATAAATAGCAATTGGCAAGCATTTAGAAAAATGTATTGAGTCTATGTAGATGTGGATGTGGATATACCTCTTTTAACATGTTCTTGCAGTTTGATCTTGATTGCAGTTTCACAGGCACTATTTGGTTCTCGCAAACGTCTAACTTCTTGTAGAGTATTCAGAAGATCGGCCTGGTCCATGGCACATCCGTCCTCCACAGTAGCTTCACCGGCAAGCATATCAGCTTAGCTCTAAAAGTATGTGCACTCAGAAAACATGCTGAGGAAGGTCAGGGTAGGCATGTTTTGTGCAGAGTAGCCAGAGTAGCTTGTTTCACTGCGGAGAATACGGGTGAGGAGTATTGTCTGGATATTTTCAACGGGTCATGCAGGTGTGTTGGGAAATGAACAGGCAGACAGACTGGCTGGCTCTACACAACTTGGTGGAATACTGATGCATGATAAGGCAGACGTTGTTAGGGCCTTGTGGGAGAGTGTGTACAGTTCAGAGGAGCAGATGGATCACCACAGTCTGGTGAGATTGATGCAGCGGGGAGTGACAAGAGGTTCTGGAAGATGATCGAGGCTCAGAGGAAAGGAAAGACGAACACTTAATCAGAATGCTACTGGAATCATAAGTATTGGAACTCTTCACTGGCTGCTGTAGATGGGGGCGGAGCGCTTATGGAATGCCCTGAGAGCTGTGATGTTGGTTCTTGAATCAAATCAAATCAAATCATGAGAAGTATGTGAGATTTTTTCCGTGTTTGAGTTAGGCTAAAATAATGCAGGAACATTACATGAGAGACAGAGGAACTTACCCTGTCATAGATTGCCTTCCAATGCTCACAGCATTCAATGCATTCGTGCAACGTCTGCTTCCCAGAGACGACATAGCCTTCAAATATCTTATCTAGGTCAATTTCTGCACAGCACCGACGAATGATTTCATTGCTCATCTGTAAAAACAACAACAATAAAAATAGATTGGTTATTAATTATTTAATTAGTTGGTTATTTACTTTCTTTGTTAAAAGCTGACTTGTGAATCAGGTGACCTAATTTATGCCATCATCTGAAAAAGATGTAAAAAGGTATATATTGTTTGCAGGTTGTGTTCTGATGACTGAATTCTCAAGTAGGTCAGCTGGATCTGCACCACTGGGTGGTGAATTGATACATGATAAGGCAGATGTGGTCAAGGTCCTTTGGGGACAAGCAACGGAATCAGTGGAGAAAGAAGATTATGGCCTGGAGAGAATGAGGCACCAAAGGATTAGGCTGGCTTACTACAGAGGAAAGGCAAGACAGACATATAACCAGATTGTGACCGGTACTATCAGTATGGAACTCTGAAGATGAGGACAGAGCATGCATGGGAATACCCTGAGTGCTGTGATGTCAATTCTTGACTCAACTCAACACTTGAGTAAGACACAAGTTTCTTGATTTTTTTGGGTGCCCAACTTTACTCTGAACACATTCTCATGAAGGCTCTTTAAATAAGTATAATCCATTACTCAGAGAGAGAGGCCCATTAAACCTAAGCCTGATAGACTTAAACCGATCTTAACATATCACCATAATAATTTGGCTGTATCTAGAATCTTTCATTGTCACCTTAATATTCTTCGCTCTGATCCTGACACCCCTAAGATATTTAGTGACAACCCTAGGGTGATCTAGAAGTGAGACTGTAATTTTAAGAACATACTTATCAGAAGCAGACTAACTCCGATCCAGATAATTCCTTTTGCCAATTCCAAATGCTTCAAAACAAGATGTAAAACATGTCCACTTGTGATCCAGACTCCTCTGGTCTGCTTCCTGAAGAGTTTATTTCACATTAGAGAAGCATTTACTTGTGAATCAGTAACCTAACTGATGCCATCATCTGCAAAAGATGTAAAAAGGCATGCAATGGGGACACCGGTTGGAAGTCAGCAGATCGCTTCTGTGAACATCTTGCCGACATTTGCAATAAGGCTCTCAAACCTGTCTCCTCCATTTCAACAGTTCATGATTCTTAGCCATATGTTACAACTGGCTCTATAAAGCATATGAGAATTCTTTTCCTCTCAAATGCAGACTTTTGATTTCCTTGCTGGTACTTGACCATTAAAACCTTTCACACATTAACATTCAACCTCAACAAAATTTTAAACCCAAGATTTTCGGCAGGCAAGCACCTGGCCACTGTTCAACCTCCGCTTCACAATGTGGCATGTGGAAACAAAAGATTCTTTGCATGACTCTCAAAACTAAAAGTACTAAATAAAAAACAATACCCAAGCTTGATAGAACTGTTCTCCTTTTTCTTTTCTTCCACCATTTAACCCAGCAAGGTGTTGAGGGGAGATGTAAGGATCGTTTGTGCACTTTTTCCTGTGCACTGTACAAGTTGGTGTTCATTTCTGCTAGGTTGCTCCTGATGGTGTCGCTCTATCTCTAGTGTGGTCTTTCAGTCCTAGTCTTCTTCTAATTTCTTCAGTCTTGATTTTATCTCTTCTTGTCACACCAGCAGCTTTCCTAAAACATCTCATCTCTGTGTTTTGATCTTCCATTCACTAGGTGTAGAAGGGTCCATGTTTGGCATTGGTAGCACAATGTTGGCCAAAAAATTGTTCTTATGAGCTTTGCTTTTGTTGACAGAGGTATCTTTCTATGCGCCAGAAGCATTGTTAATTGTCCCTTAATCTTATTTGCTTTTGCACATCGTATGTTGATTTCTCAATCCATTCTTCCATCTGAGGTGAAACATTTCCCTATATATTTAAATTTGCTCGTTTATTGTATTTCTGTTCACTCGTTCATTTTATTTCTTTAATTGATATGGTTTCTTCTTTTCTATTACCATTTCCTCTGTCTTATCAATGTAAATCTTCTTTTTATATATCTCACACTTAGTATTGACTTGGTCTAAATGGTTCCGTAAACTCTCTTCTATTCACTAGGAGATTTAAAATGAATTATAGTTTTTAATAAAGGCTACCAGCCTCCTGATATTCATTTTTCTGACAGGCGAACTGAAGAGGAAGAAAAGAAGATAAAAATAACTAACCTTCCTCAGAATTCCTGTCAATTTCTCTCTGGAGTTGAAGAAATCAGAGTTGACCCAGATCATGCGAATAAGATTAAGAATCTTTGGCAATAATTTAGGAATGTCTTTTGGCTTGGCGTCTGCAAGTTCATGACATGGATCCTTCAGCACAGATAAAAATTTTAGGTTGCTTTCTGCTTGCCTTGACCCTTCCTGTTTGAGAAATGAAAATAGCAGATGAGAAGATTTGCCTGGAATATACATTATTACATTTTCAAAACTCTACACAAATATAAAATGTAAACAAATTAAATCTCCCCACTGGGTTCAGGGGTCCCATTGTGGGGGTGGGATCAGACCCACTGCTCCCCAACAAGCATGTCATAAAAGCCAACTAATCAGGGATACTTCCTTTGAAGTCAGAGTGAATGTTTATGCAAAACTCTAATTCCGTAAGAAGACTAAATTCCAGAAGTTGACAGACAACCACGATTACATAACCACATGTACACAAAATTCAAGATAGGTGTATCAGCCATGTGCACCTGTGGAAAGGTGCCCCAGACAGCAGAGAATGTACTCCAGGACTGCACCGAAATTTGACAGATTAAGGCAAACCTTGTGGCCAGAAAAAACAACAGTGGAACGTAAACTCTATGGACCAGTGAATGAACTAACAACGACAGTGAAATTTATATAAGAGACAAAACTGCTGATATAGACAACTTTTTTCAGGTGGTCGAAAGAAGAAGAAGAAGACAGACAACCAGAGATCTCCACCAGAGTTTACAGCCAGTGAATGCAAAGAAGAAGAAACAATCATTAACTTGTTGAGCTATGAAAGTATACAGAATACTATGGAGCTTTGTCGGTCAGAGATTAGTGAATGTGTTTAATAATTTCATAACTCGAGAAATTTCACCGGCAGACATTTCATTTGAAACAAAAAGAATACTCACATAGTTTTTAGACAGTGGGAGGAGAGTTGCATGGCATAAGAAATTAGGACCCCTTTTTCTTCTTTAGAATTCCAAGCCCTTGAGGTTAATTGCTGCAGATATCACCAGCCTCCATTTGTCTCTCTAGCTGTCCTTTTCTTTGAATTTGGTGACACCAAGTTTTTGTAATGTACCTCCATTTTCGTATTGGCCTTATCTCATGGTCTACAACCCTTGAACTCCCTCTTGTGCAGTTTTTAATCTTTCTGTCATTTGACATTCTCTCAATATACCCCAATCATTGTCAAACTGTGTTGTTTGGTTCATGAGTGCAATATTTATGGGGATCATTACTGAAGCTGTGAAGTTTGTGCTTTGTGTGGTGCTTATGTCAGACAACAAGCCACTCTCTGGAGAGACTGAGCAATGTGGGATAACACATGGCACAATGCAGCTGATCCTCTCGACAGTAAAAACATAAACTTTTACTGTGGAGCAAATACAATTAATTTTTTTAATTATAGAATCTGCAACATATGACAATACTGCTAATTCAAGTTAGAGAAAACTAAGTAAAATGATCCTTTTAACCCCAGTGGTGTGTCTGATGGGGGCTGAAATAAAATATTAACCATCTCAGTCAATGCAGATGACACAGATATTGTTTAAGAAAATGAACTAGAGACTGTTAAAACACTGACTCTCTTAAATGGAGCAGCTCAGAAAATGGGACTAGTTGTCGGTCAAGATAAGACAGAATACATGATAGGATATAAAGGGAAAGGATATAAACTTCAGCCACATACAAGTTGATAATATGAAAATCAAACAAACGGAAACACATAAGTACTATGGAGCTGCGTGCGGACGGCGACAGAGGCGGATAGTTTCTTATCAGCTGACGTACTGGTGGCACAGCACTTATGTTTTATAACTGTGTGCAGTGACGCTGGATTACATCTCCAGACTTTACCGTTACCTTACGTGGGTGCAAACTTCAACTACTCCAACATGCTGAGAGAATAAATACATCTAGAATACAATCTGGAAATAAAGTATACTATGCCCCTCAACATCTGCTAAAGTCAAAGTCTCTGTCTTGTAACACCAAGATCAAAATATTTAAAATGTTAATAAGACCAGTCGTGTTATATGTTCTGAAACTTGGAGCGCAACTAAAAGAGATGAAGCCTTATTGCAGGTTTTCTAAAACAGAGTCTTACGACAAATATTTTGACCCATTAAAGATTCAAACAGTGGGGACTGGAGAGTGAGAAGCAACAACGAAATTCATAATGTGTTTAGATCACAATTGATCACTGTCATCATGAGAGCTAATAGAGTGAAATCACTGGGGCACATTGAGAGAATGTCAGCTGACAGAGAGTTAAAAGCGTATACCCAAGGGAGCTGAATGGTCGTAGACCCCGAGGCAAAAAAAAAAAGGAGAGATACTGTCCAGACATAGTTGCAAACACTTGGTGTCACCAAATGGAAAGAGAGGGCCAACCAGAAAGATGAATGGAGGTGGATGATATCTGCAGCAATGAACCCCAAGGGCTCAGAATGCTGAAGAAAAAGAAGAAGAAGAAGAACCATCTCAGTTTGTGGTAACAGCCCTGAGTCTTCAGGCTGAAAGACCCCCCACCTACACTGCAAAAGTGCCAAATACAGGCAGTAATGTCAGTTTTTTTGGCATTACATCGGTAATTGGGTTGCCAGATATTCCATTTTCTTGCCAAAATTATGTTTCTACATAGAAAGTTTAGTATCATAATGATGTCTATTTTATCGCCTGCTGGTAGTGAAAAATACAGGTTTTTTTTTAACCAAATCTGGCTAGCCTAGTCTGTATGGTGCTAGATCCATGTCTGTTTAGACCAACTGGGCAACATTATAACAGTCATTTCTTGGTAACCATTTTACTCTGGTTTCCAGGTTTCCCATATATTTTCAAGAGTGCAGTAACTATTATAAACAAAAGCTAGTGTAAAAACTTGTATCAGGTAAAGTGCAAAGTGACTGGAAGTAACCATACAGAAAGCCAGATTTCACCAGCATTCTCTGACCAAATGTGAACAGTGAAAGAACACAATGTATCATTGTCCGGATTCCATGCAAAGATCCACTGACACAACATCTGATGCTTATGACTCAATGAGTAAAGACTGAGTTGACATGGAATGCTTGGGTTTACACATACACAAAAATATTTAGCCCAGTGTGGGCCCTGAGACCTTCAGACCAGCACTGCGCTAATATAGATTAGAGAAAACCACTCGCCTTAATCTGTCCTGCAAGCCGGAGAAAAGGTGCGACATAGGAAGACTTTGCCAACTCCAGAATCTGCGTGATGCGTTTGACTCCTGGCTTGTCCAGCTGTGTGGTAATGCCTGACAAATCAGCACATCGGTTCTTCCAGAAGTCAATTTCTTCCAGAGGGCCTGAGTTCTCCGCCATTTCAAATGCATCCTGGGAACTAAGCACTTCCTTGATCTGCCTAGCCCAGTGGATTATGGATGCTGTGAGAGGAAAGATGTTTCATTATTTATGCTTTAAAAAAAAGGATGTTTCATTATGTTTGCCATCAGAGGATAGGTTTCAAAATGGATGATGCTTTGAGAGAAAGGATGTTTCACTATGAATTATGTTATGAGAAGAATAACATTATGGATGTTTTTAGAGAAAGAATGTTTAACTGTGAATGCTCAGAGAGGATGTTTCACTATGAACAATGTTATGAGAAGAATGATATTATGGATGTTTTCAGAATAAGAGTGTTTAAAGATTAAATTTAAATAAACTTTAAATGTATAGATTATCTAATGGCAAATGTACTCATGTAGGCTGTCGAGGCATAATGAGGTCAGATAACAAGCTCTGTTCTTTGCTGCCTCTCTTCGCAGAAAAATAGAAATGTTTTACACCCAGAGAGATTTTCTTCAGACAATTACTAAAATACCACCTAATGATGATACTGATGATGTTACTGATGATGATGGTTATGATGATGATGATGGTGATGATGATGATAATGTTGAGGAAGATTATACTGATGATGATAGTGATGATGATGATTATGCTGCTGCTGATGATGATCATGATACTGGTGATGATGATGATCCTGACAATGGTGGTGATGATGCTGATGGTGATGATGATGATGGTGTTGGTGATGACGCTGATGGTGATGATGATGATGATGATGCTGATGGTGATGATGACAATGGTGGTGATGATGATGATGACAGTGATGGTGGTGATGATGATGATTGTGATGATAATGATGCTGCTGCTGATGGTGATGATGATGATGGTGATGATGATGATGATAGTGATGGTGGTGATAATGATTGTGGTGGTGATGATGATGATGGTGATGATGATGCTGCTGATGATAGTGATGGTGATGATGATGGTGTTGATGATGATGATGATGATGATGGTGGTGCAGATGATGCTAATGATGTTGATAAGCCTGATGATTAAACAAGCCTACATTCTCAACAACAACAAAACATACACACAAAAACCCTTACTCTCCAAACGCTGCACTAATTCCTTGTTCTTCGCAGCCTCTTCAGCCGGAACATTGGTCCCCTCTGTAGGGATGTACAACACTGTTTTACCCTCCAGTTTGTAGCGAGTATCTGTTAAGCTGGCCAAGAAACGGTGCAACTGGGCAGAGAAGTCATTCTTAATGCCTGATTGTGTGTTAAGCTAGAAAGTAACTAGGGTAGAATAATTACAAAATAGTGCCATCCGCTAAAATTAGCTCTTTGAGTCCCAAGGAACGCATCATACGTTCATAGGTTACTGCATAGAAGCCCAATGAACGCATAATGCGCAGATTTTACGTCTCTTATGACTACCTCTTGGGCCTGTGATGCTAAACCTTCTAGGACTTGAAGAGTTAATATCATGAGGTTCGAGGTTTTGAACAACGGATTAACATCATGGCCCACGGGTAGTAATCCACAAGTGCTCCGTTCTTCTTCTAACTCAAGTCTGAGTCTGAAGAAGCTCAGCACAGTGCACAGGCTCTGTAGCACCGGTGAAGATCATGTGATTAATATCATGAAAAAATATAAAACCAAATTAAATGTAGACCAGAGAGCTGTACAATGTAACAAACACAAATAAAAATTGAACGTTGCGGCTATAGAGGCATTTTCAGCGCATTACGTAAATCAGCAAAACTCCATGTATGGACACGAATAGATAAAACTACTTAACTGACATTTTCCTGAAAGCAGCCACTTAGTTGTATGGCCTCAGAATGAAAGATATGTGGCCACCAGCAACCGCCTAGAATGGGTAGAAAGCATTCGAAAATTGCACTTAACCTCCGTAACCTGGATCTACACACCGATTCATGCGGGCGTAAAGGGAAATGAGCGAGCGGACCAACTGGCAAGCATTGCACTAAGGATTGCGGGGAAAAGCATGGACAGAGCAGATATAGTCAACGCTGTATGGACTGGGCTAGTGGATAATGAGGAATCCCTGACACTAACACGATTGCATGACATGGGAGTAAAGCATGATGAAGCATGTCTTTGCTATCTTCGAGGCCAAGATAGGAGACAATATAACCAGCTTCTCATGAGAACAGTTGGTAGAAGTACTTTGAAGTGGCTGCTGCATCGGAGGACTGAGCACGCATGGGAATGCCCAATGTGCAGTGATGTCCATTGTGATCCCATAAAATAACATAACATCTTGTAGGGAGTCGGCAGTCCAAAACCCAAGTTCAAGGTGTCTCCTTTGTGCCAAAGAACTGCATGGCTGTTGGGTAAACAGTCGTTAACGAAAGCAGTCAGGTCGTTGTAGGGGTGATGCTTGCCACTGGATGTAATGTCTCAAGTCTCTTTCCTAGCTTATAGTGAGGGTACTGCTGGTGTGCCTGTTTATTAACCCTCACATAATGCTTCATGTCAAAATGGACGCTAGGCACGGCCACTTTTTTTAGCCATGGCATTTTTTTGCTTCTGCCTGACGGTGGCCGGTGCATTTTTGCTCCATTTGTATCTGGAAGGATATCGTTTTGTTGCCAAGCTTCTGAGTTCAGTGCATGGCGTGACACTGTGAGCTTCGGATTTCATTTGAATTGTAATAAACATTTTGTGTGTTTTTCTTTGGCACAGGAGCGGAGCAACTATGGGGTGACCCGTTTGCTATGAAGCTGAAACTAAGATTACCAGATTACCAGAACACCAAGGGCTGTGACTTAAGAATATCAAGTGAAACTGTAATTCAAGACACCTAAACAAATATGCCCTGCCATTCAGTGAGGAATACCACCAGTCACCTTAACATACTCCACATATGTGTTCTGGGGCTCCATTTTGAAGAACAAAGATTAGACCTCCTCCTCCTTCTTCTTCTTCTTCTCTTCCAACATTTTCCTCATCGAGTTTTTTTTTTTTTTGGGGGGGGGGGGGGGGGGGGGGCAAGGATTGTTTAGGCACTTTTTCCAATGAATTGTACAAGTTGGTGTTTATTTCTGTTAGGTTGCTTCTCTTGCCCACTAAATAAGCATGTTGTCATCATCATCATCATGCAGCAGGTTCTTTGCAGAACGTCGCTCTCATTACAGTCTGCCTGAAAGAAACTTGGTCTCTTGCCAGTTATCCCGCCTCATGTACTTTCATACTCAAGGAGTCACTTATATCCTGTGCCCATCTTCGTGTCGATCAGCCCCTGCCCCTCCTTTCTGGTACCATGCCTTCTGCTATAATTCTTTCTAATCCGTTGTAGCGCTTGATATGACCAAAATATTTAAGCTTCCGAGAAAGGATGCTGTTTATTAGCCAATCTTCCTTGATGTTCTTATCTTTTAAGATGTCAATATTTCTCCTCTCCTCTCTCCAAGATATTCTGAGAATGTTATATAAGGTGATTAATCAGCAGTTTTCCCCTTAAAGTCAGAATACATCTGCCTGAGAGACAAGGAACCAACTGTCTGCATACAAATAAGCCAGCTCTATAAAATGGAGGTGCATGCAAAACTCAAGTTCTGTTTATGATCCAATGCTCAATATGTAGCACTGCGTAATGCTGTTCTGTTTGGATGTTAAATGTATTTAACATCCTCAGTCAATCTTCTCATTGGTGTCCCTCTTGATTTCATGTCAGACATTTTAGGTGAATGTCAGTGTCATTAGTTGTGGCTACATTGTATAGAGTGTTTCAAAAGTTGTGGCCAACACTTAAAATCTTTAACTCAGTAACCATTCGGTGTAAATTTGTCAAGAAAAGATATAAAACCGAACGAAAAGTATATTAGCAAGCTTCACAATGTAACAAATACAAACAAAACGTGAACGTTGCGGCTATGGAGCCTTCATCAGCACATACAAATTAAACAATACTACACTGATACATAAAATTACTTAGCTGGTATCTCGAAGCAGCCGGGTCAGTTGTTTCTCAGCAGAATGACTACACGTGTCGGCTAGGGGAATAAATACCCCTCTGTGGAGTACCAGGGGCCATAACTAGGGGTCAGAGATAAAACTGTGAGGGCAGTTCAATCCCCTGGGAGTTTAAATGAAACTGTCTTGGCATGTAACCTGTTGATAATTAATTCCCTGTAGAAAAATAACTACAATGTAAACAAACATCTAGTATTTGATTTTTCTTATTTGGCAGTTGGAAATCAAAAGAGTAGTATAACGACGCTGTGTAAGAAAAATTTGGAGTTAAAAATCTTCCTAAAGTATTTCAGGATCCTTGCCGGTGCCATAGAGCCTGTGCACTCTGCTGAGCTTCTTGGGACTAAGAAGAAAAACGGAACACTTATGGTTTACTACCTGTGTGCTATGATGTTGATCTGTTGTTCAAACCTCAAACCTCCTGAGTCAGTTTCATATTTATATTAACTATCATAAAATGTCAAATATAATAAACTTTTGACATGTTAAACATCCTAAAAGTTAATACTAAATAAAATTAAAAGTTAACATGTTAAATATAGAATATGTAGCCAAATTAGAAAGGATACTGTCTGGCCATGACCGATTCTCAAAGAAGATCGGGGCATAAACCCCCATCATCATTCGTAGCAGACTCTCAATATGGCCGCCCTTAATAATACCGTACTGAACATCACTGAGAAAACTGTCACTAGTAATTTCTGTACAATCTGCCGATTTGATGAAGTAGCAGATGCTTTTCACCGGCATCGCTGGAATTGTCAGGCTCAGGGTCAAGCCTTGGAAGCGGTGATCATAAGCCACAAGAAGATGGACAGAGGGGTCACTGATGAACTTCATGATGGTCTCAATATTCTCGGCTGATAGGCTGATCTCTCTGATGCCACTGACGACTATCCGCTTCCTGATCATGTCAAGCTGAAAATAATCATGGCTATGCTGAATGGGAGAGAATAATTTGCAGGGTGGGCGAGCATGCGTGACACAGCAGGTGAGTATTACTGATGGAGTGGGTGAGATCCATTTGCAGGATGGGTGAGTATGAGTGACCAGCGGGTGAGTATTACTGATGGAGGGTGAGTATCCTTGGTAGAGTAAGTGAGTATCACTGGTGGAGCGGGTGAGTATCATTTGCAGGATGGGTGAGCATGAGTGACACAGCAGGTGAGTATTACTGATAGAGTGAGTGAGATCCATTTGCAGGGTGGGTGAGCATGAGTGACACAGCAGGTGAGTATTACTGATGGAGTGGGTGAGTATCCTTGGTAGATTGGGTGAGTATCACTGGTGGAGCAGGTGAGTATCATTTGCAGGATGGGTGAGCATGAGTGACACAGCAGGTGAGTATTACTGATGGAGTGGGTGAGTATCCTTGGTAGATTAGGTGATTATCCTTGGCAGAGTAAGTGAGTATCACTGGTGGAGCGGGTGAGTATCATTTGCAGGATGGGTGAGCATGAGTGACACAGCCTGTGAGTATCACTGATGGAGTGGGTGAGTATCACTGGCAGATTGGGTGAGTATCCTTGGCAGAGTGGGTGAGTATCACTGGTGGAGTGGGTGAGATCCATTTGCAGGATGGGTGAGTATGAGTGACACAGCTGGTGAGTATCACTGATGGAGTTGGCGAGTATCATTTGCAGGGTGGGTGAGTATGAGTGACACAGCAGGTGAGTATCCTTGGCAGAGAGGGTCAGCATCACTGGTGGAGTGGGTGAGTATCACTGGTGGAGTGTGTATCACTGTTAGAGTGGATGTGTATTCTTTGTAAATTGGGTAGTACCATTGGATGGAGTGGGTGTGTATTTCATTGATAGAGTGGGTGGGTATCGTTGGCAGAGTGGGTGCATTTATTACTGGTAGGGTGGGTGGGTATCACTGGATGGAGTAGGTGTGTATATCACTGGTGGAGTGGTATCACTGGTGGAGTGGTATCATTGGATGGGGTGGGCGAATATTATTGGTGGAGTGGGTGAATTTTACTGGTGGAGTGGGTGAATATTACTGATGGAGTGGGTAAATATTACTGGTGAAGTGGGTGAATCTCACAGGCAAGATGGGTGGGTATCATTGGCAAGATGGTGGGTATAATTAACAGAAAGATTATGCTAATGATGATGATGACAATGATGGTGATTATAAAGGTAATGATGATGATAAACGAGCTACTATCTGCAGACGATCAATGCCTGTTCTACAATTAGGGAAGTAGCTGCAAGAACATTTGTTGTTGTTGTTGTTATTGATCCAGCGGCACATGAGATTTCGCCCTTTGGTCCAATGCCATGTAGTGGAATTTACATGTTTTCACAAGCTGTTCTTTTCCTCCATACAAGGTGTTCTACTTGTCTGGTCTCGGAAGGAGTAGCGTTCTTCTAGTCTCGTTGAGTTTTGGACACTCATAGAGATGATGGTCAACAGTTTCGTAGGGGTAGTTACATAGCTGGCACTCTGGGGAGTGTTGTTGTTGTATTCTGTTTAGGTGTCCATTGAGTGGAGTATGTTGTGTTTTGAGTCTGAAGATGGTGGCCTGGTTCCTTCTTGTTAAATGGTTAATGCTGTCATTACGATCAGGGCTAGCCATGTGTCTATAAACCTTTCTTCCAGTATCTATTATTTGCAGACAATCAATGCCTGTTCTACAATTAGGGAAGTAGCTGCAAGAACATTTAGACAGGCCAAGTTCAACACACAGAAGATATAGCATGAATAAATACTACTACACCTGAAATAATGTGGGTCAGCAGAATTTATAGTCCGCTACATATCGGATTCAATTAGAGTTGCCGAAGGCAAGTTAAAGAATTTAAATATCTAGGAAGTATATTCTCAGAGGATAGGAGAAAAAAATCAAGAAGCAGAAACAAGATGCCAACGAGCCAGTGCACTGACTTATATACCAAATGACACCCTTATTAAGATATCCAAACATAAGTATGAGCACCAAGAAACAGATTATAAACAGCATATTAATACCAACACTGCATTAAAAGTCCTAGATTTGGACATTATCAAGGGCTAACCTATGTAAGATTAAGACCTGTGAAATGAGATGCCCGAGAAAAGCAGCCAACTTTACCATCCGAGACACAGTTAGAAATGATATTATCAGACAAAGTGTAGAAATAATACCATGCAGCATATTTATTGAGAATAACAAGATCAAATGGTTTGATCATCTACTAAGAATGCAGCTAGAATAACTACCAACACATGTGATACACCTGAAAAGATCTGACTGAATCAAGAGGCCGTCCTAGGAGAAGATGGATTGACGACATTAAAGAGCTTTCACATTGACACAGTTTGACAAAAGCCATTAACCAATGGATCACAAACTGTGCTTCCCCACAACACTTAATGGCAAAAGATGAAACTGACAATGATGATGATTAGAATTATTGCTGACAAAAATAAATGATGATGACCCGCTTGATGGTCAGGATGAAAAGATGATGAGGACAGTAATACTCACAACGCTCATCTCCGGTTGAAAATCAGGTACAGTTTCTGGAAGTTCTTGTTCCATACCTTCGCTAAATGAGCCATGAACTGTTGACACAAACAAGAGGGACGCACTTAAAAGAAGAAACCTTGACTAATGAAATTACAGGTTCATATTTAAACCTTGAAACGTCGACTACAGTAGACACTGACTTTACAGGTTCACAGTTAAACCTAGAAACCCTGACTACAATACACACTTACTTTACAGGTGCACAGTTAAACCTACAAACCTTGACTACAATACACACTTACTTTACAGGTGCACAGTTAAACCTAGAACCTTGACTACAATACACACTTACTTTACAGGTGCACAGTTAAACCTAGAAAACCTGACTACAATACACACTTACTTCACAGGTTCACAGTTAAACCTAGAAACCTTGACTACAATACACACTTACTTTACAGGTGCACAGTTAAACCTAGAAACCTTGACCTACAATACACACTTACTTTACAGGTTCACAGTTAAACCTAGAAACCATGACTACAATACACACTGACTTTACAGGTGCACAGTTAAACCTATAAACCATGACTACAATACACACTTACTTTACAGGTTCACAGTTAAACCTAGAAACCTTGACTTACAATACACACAGACTTTACAGGTGCAGAGTTAAACCTAGAAACCTTGACTTACAATACACACAGACTTTACAGGTGCACAGTTAAAAAGTTAAACCTAAAAGTTAATATTTCAATGTTTAAGTTATCCTGATTAGACTTAGGCTGTTAATGTTTTACTGTTTAAATACCCAGATTAGGCCTAGGTTTATAATGTTTCCCTGTTTATGTTACCCTGATTAGGCCTGTGTTGTTAATATTTCACTGTTTAGGTTACACTGAGTAGACCTAGGCTGTTAATGTCTCACTGTCTAGGCTACCCTGATTAGGCCGAGGTTGTTAATTGTTGACAGACTACAACAAAATGCCCCGAGTAGTTCCTTACACATGAAGTTAGCTGCAAGATTTGCCAACAGTACTTACGATTTTCTTCATCATCTTCAGTAATGGATTCATGTTCATGAGGTCCTGCAAACAATAAAATGTGATCACCAGAAAGAAAAGCAATATAAATGTGATCACCAGAAAGAAAAGCAATATAAATGTGATCACCAGAAAGAAAAGCAATATAAATGTGATCACCAGAAAGAAAAGCAATATAAATGTGATCACCAGTAAGAAAAGCAATATAAATGTGATCACCAGAAAGAAAAGCATTATAAATGTGATAACCAGTTTAAAAAAGCAATATAAATGTGATCACCAGAAAGAAAAGCAATATAAATGTGATCACCAGTAAGATACGCAACATACAAATAAAGATTACCTCTATCAGTCCCATTGCATTTTACTGCAGTTGCAAAGGCAACTGGGAATGCCAGATTTCTTTAGTATCCTCTGGCAAAATGCAAACAGTAGAAAAACATACTGTGTAATGTTTGGGATTTATGAAAAGAATTTTATCACCAATGATGCGTTGCTTGGGACCAAAAGAGTTAACAATGTAGCAGTGAAGATTAGCACTGCAATAATGAAGACAGACAATATAACAGAGAAGATTAACAACAAAAAATTAAAGATTACCTATGTAATAACAGTAAACATTACCAATACTTCTTCTTCTTCATTCATCCAAAGATGTAAATATGTTGTGCCTATTTACAGCAAGGCTGCGATAATAGCACCTTTCAGCAGACACATTCAGACTTCTGCAGACTTTTTTTGCCTAGGTATGCCTTCTTGGAGATGAACAATACAATTATAATATTTAAAGAAAAATAGAAATGGAGATTAACAATTCAGTGTGAAGACTGATAATCAAAAGGCATACATATATTTCTGTAAAAGCAGAAAGCACAAACGAAAACTATTCTTGAATATCAACAAAAGAGGTAACCATGTCAGTTCTGGGGCACCATGTTGATGGGGAGGGTTGGGGAAGAATAACATGTTATAAAAGTGTGAATGCATCTGCCTGAGAGTTGAAAAACCAACAGTCTGTATGTGTGTAAGCCAGATATGTAAAATAGATATGGCTGCAAAACTCAAGTTCTGGAACAAGACTAAGATCTAGAAGTAGAGAAACAACCAGAACTTTCTGCCAGAGTTTACAGTTGGTGAACGCTAAAAAAAAAAAAGAAGAAGAAGAAAAAGAAGAAGAAGAAGAAGAAGAAGAAGAAGAAGAAGAAGAAGAAGAAGAAGAAGAAGAAGAAGAAGAAGAAGAAGAAGAAGAAGAAGAAGAAGAAGAAGAAGAAAAAGAAGAAGAAGAAGAAAAAGAAAAAAAAGAAGAAGAAGAAGTGATTAATCACATGGGCAACTACTGATCTGTTAATCGTAACTGCAGCTTCCACCATTGATGAACTGCATTTTATGACATGCTTGCTGGGGTGGGG